AAGAATTGCGAATTATAATGGTTCATTATCTGATATGGATTAAGTAGTTATATGACAAATTTAAAAGATAACTATCACTTACTTGATTTGATTTGATTTGATTTGATTTATTTGTTTCTGCATCTTTTTTCTTTTTTTGCATCATACATTTTCATGAACATAATATGGCTTGATACAATATTTCAAGAGTATATAATTTTATACAGATAATACACGATATTAAACAGACGGTGTTAAAGAATAATAACAATTTTCGGTTCTTGTATAGTGCATTATAACGTCCCTATGCGCTTCTAAAAAGCTTTCGTATTACCCCACCTTTTGCATGGCTGCATGCTATTACGGCGCTCTAGCATTTCAAGGAATTGATCCCTGCCGGGTACCCATTAACCTCACCTTGGTTGTCACGTGCTAATTTATAAAAAGATACATAAATCCTATATAGGAACAAGAAAAAGAGGAAAAAAGGCCACCCTAGGTGCCTTTTGGAATATAAATTGAATAGGGGGCAAGAACACAATAAGAACATATTTTTGTGTACATAAGGTATGCAAGATAAAGGAGGGTATGGTCGGTTGCGACCACACCTCTTTTTTCCTCCTATATCCACCGCAGATCCGAGCTTATACCTCAGTCACGCTGCCAAACCGGCTCCAAACCAACTCCAAGCCGGAGTTCGTTATAGGGTTAATGTAATGTTTGATCGGTCTGTTCTCGGTATGTTCTCGGTCTCGCTGATGTGACTGGGGTATGAGGTTGACATGGATAATAATAATAATAATTTTGTCTACCCAAGGCCATGGAAGCATCATCAGCATCAATCCTATTCATCTTGACGACCCTGCAAGTACTATGCATTACACACCAGCCATCTCCACCTGGGTGGAGAGGGGTCAGTGTTAATTAATGTCTAGCCAAAGAACTCTAGTGCCGGGCCGAGATTCGAACCCTCAATTCTTGGATTGAGGGTCATGTGAACTGTACCACGTACCACGACACTTCCACATCGTTGATTTTTTTTGTTAAATCATTGAGACAGTAAGAATCCGTGGTTTTACGAGAGAGTTCCTTGGCGACACGAAGTACTCTCGTACTCTCGAGCAATCTCCGATGAACGACGATAGCACTTGGTTCGTTGAAGCGTTTTCTGATCTCATGATAGGTTTGACATATCTCTATGTACTTTGGACTATAGATGGTATCCTGTACTCAACATTAAAACACTCTCTTCTTGAAATCAGTGCACTGTTTTACGAGAATGCCAAGAGGGACCTCCCCCGCTGTACTCGCAAGTTGAGGGTTAAGCAATGGCGAGTTTTATTACGACTTACTTAGGGACGACCTGCTTGGAAAGTCACGGTGCTAATTTTGCTTCTATGTTTACTTATTTGTCACGTTTTCGTAATAAAACTGGCCAAAATGGATAGCGTGGAGGAATTTTCACCTAATGGGTAAAAAGGTAAACGTGTATACGTGCTAGAACGAGATGAACCCTCGATGAACTTCTATCTCACTCTAATCGGTTTTGGTAGTCTTAAACAGGTTGTTTCATATTGAGTGGCGGTATAATATAGCATGACATATTAGTAAAATTATTAACATTAATATAGGGATGAATCCAGGAGGGGGGCTCCTGTCATTTTCTAACTCTGAGAGGGAGTTAGGAGGAGAACAATCTTCCTCATTCCTTTAATGTGAATATTTTCCTGGTGTTGTGATTTTTGGAGTGTCACCGGCTCTCTTAAATGGGGAGAAGGTGTATTTTCCAGACAACTTAATTAAAATTGTCTCATTCATGATGACAGATGGTAGTTTATTGACTATCGTTTCAAATTGCCTTGGTCATGACAACTCAGTAGTATCCCTAATTAAAAAACCCATTATGCGAAACTTAATGAAATATCAACATCCGTTCCATAAACTCTGTTTGTAAATCAGATTTCTTGGAAACAACATAAATCAGTCTCCCTCTCTCATTCTCCCGTTTATACGAATATGACATCTATACAATTTCCATATTTCTACCTCACGATAGTGAAGGGGGTATGTCCTTTAGATGGCAAACATCATTATAATCTAATCCATCTCCGATTGGTAAGCTGAACAAGCAGAATAAAAGGGTGTGTAAACATCAAGAACTCCGGCATTGCTTTCAATTAAACCAGCCGGTATTTGATCGACCTGTTGCATTTTAGGATGGTCCACTATCCACTTCTAGTTGTCATGATGAGGAAAGACAATGGCAATGATGCCTGATCAGTGCATGACAGATTATTTGTATACATGGCGACAATATTCTGGATGAATCAACATTAATGTGAATGCTGGGACATAATGAGGCTTATGAGAGGGCGTGGTCCAGCTCCCGACATTATGATTGAGGGGTATTGGTATCATGGGTGGGGCAGTAACGGTCTTGGAATACGAATTAACAAGGTCATCAACTAAGGGAAGGGTGAGGAAAATGATCATCTCTTTACGTTTCCCCCTTTCTTCTCTCCCCTCCCCCTCTCTCTTTCTCTCTCTCTCTCTCTCTCTCTCTCTCTCGGTCTTTTTCTCTCTCCCTCCCTGTTTCTCTCTCTCTCATTCTCCGTTTTCCTGTAATACAAGAGGGTTATTTTAGGTATTGAGCTATACTGAACTAACACTCTAAGTATCAATCAGTTTGATAGAACTGCTGAAAGTTTAAAACGCTACAACATCGAAAAAATGAAATCGACGGGGAATAATAATCTTAGAAAAGATATATAGTTTATATAATGACAATGAGATGTGTAAATATATCGCAAAAGTATGTCTATAACTATGAACACATTGGGTGATATCGCTGTATATCCTAAATCCATTAATTTACCAATTGAGAGTAGTGTGTCTTTATTGTCGCATCATGATTGAAGTATGTGCATAATGACACATTACTTTAATGCTACATGAGTGCTCTATTACAACCATTAACCATTATGCTCTAATCAGGTACGATCTTGCACTTAGCATAATGTGTTCACATCTTAACCTGACATGAATCTCCCCCACTATATAGCACATGCAGGGTCGGATGTGTGAATTGTGTTTGTAGGGTGCCACTAATAAGTAAACTTTCCGCATCCTGGTTAGTCTACAGGTGTCAGTCGTTATGCTGAACAGACGATCTGAACTATAAGACTGCAGATTGCACGCAGTGGCACCCCTACTGTAGCAAGAGTATAAAACGTAAGGCTTCACGCAAGTCGCAAGACTAAACATGTTTATGTAAAGCGTAAAATTAGAGGTTGTGTGGATGTTGAACTCAATTTTACAGACGCGTAATCAATCAGATTATTTTACTACAATTAGATATGATTGTTTAAATTTAACGTTACTATCCGAAAGACCTGACTCAGTTTCGAACCTTGATCCGTAAGAGTCAGTTTTATAGTCGAAGACAGAGACTCAAAGTACCACTGACGGTACCGCTTGACCAAAACATCTTCCCTTTTAAAGCTCGGCTATAGGCATCACTCAGCACAATATATTTTGTTACAATGTTAAATTCGAGTCTGTGTTTGCAGAATAGAAAGTGGATGCCTGAAAACTCCTAGTAGCGAGCGGGAAAAAAGGTTAATGAATTATCACCAGGACGCGCAAGGCACGAGAAAATACATTCTTTGGAGCCCATTGGAGGCATTAACCAAAGAGTCGTTAAACGCCTCATTATTCACCGTTAGCGTATTCGGTAATTTGCTCGAAACAATTATTTAAAGGTTAATGGTATCGAAATTTGCGTTAGAAAAATTTCTGAGTATATGCCGAAATAGCGATTGGCGTCTACTACAGTATAATGTTGCATTCACTATTGTCCTGTCCCTCCACTCTTGGACTTACGCCAATTTTCCTACCACCCCCTAACTTTCTCTCTCACTCTTATCACCTCGTCCACCAAACGCCACGTCCTCCATATCTCTCTCTCTCTCTCTCTCTCTCTCTCTCTTCTCTTCTCTTCTCTTCTCTTCTCTTCTCTTCTTCTCTCACTTCTTCTCAATATCTCTGTATATCTTGCCTTTCTGTCATTTTATAATCACTACTTGTCTTATTATTTAATCATCCAGTCTGTCACCTTGATTATCTCTCTTTTCCAGTTAAAGCTCTCTCTCTCTTCTTTTCACAGCCTCATCTTTCGGTTTTTCTTTTTTCCCTCTTTCTCTCAATCCGTCTACATTTCGTATATTACATCCCTCTTTTCTGATTCTATTTCTAGTTTGATCAAATAAGATATTTGGCATTTGGGGCAAGATGTCGTAGGCATTCTTTAATCATCAGTAATTTCATATATATTTTTCTGTTGCACTTAAATCAAGAATAGAGCGAAATGGGATAGAAAATTTCACGGTTTGGAAACACTGATTGTTTTTTTTTATTCGTGATCGTGCTTTATAATAATTATGTACTGAATGATTAAAAAAGTTCATATTACATTTTCAAGGACAATCTCGCACAATAGCTCAATGTTTTATCGTTGCCTTGATTACAATTTTACAATGAAGATCAGTTTTCATGTAATTAGTCGAATGGATATCACTTGGATCCTTTTTACTCTCATGATTTCAATGCGGGGGTAAACTTCACCCTCGTACTAGGCTCACAAAGAACTTGATTATTAACGGGGTCGCTCATACTTTGACACATTATCGAAGAAATCGTTTTGAAACGTCGTTGGTTCGTTTCTCGTTCGTAAATGGTTATCAATATTAACGAGATGAAAGGAAAACTAAGCAGGTTCCGAGCTGAATGAAATGAAAAGGTCTTGCAGGTCCATACCATCCTTTACTTGTGTTCTTTTATCCTTTTCCTTCTTCATTATTTTTCTCTCCTTTTACAATTCGATTGAGACACGGGCTGTCATGTCTCCACCATTATAATGCACAATGCTAATAATAATTATAAATCTATATCTATATCCTTGGTCATCTGCAGGCACAACTTCGGCAAGAATCGTCAACTAGTCTACGGACCTCGCTGAAACCATGAATATTTCCTCGACCTCGACCTACGAGGATGAAAACTTCGGTGAGCGAGTCAGTATGGCCGTGCTCCTCTGTATAATATCCTTCCTGGGCATCGTCGGTAACACGCTCACCATCTTCTCCGTGATCGCCTGCAGGAGGTTGCAGACATTACCAAACGCCTTTGTCGTCAGCCTGAGCCTCAGCGACTTCCTCAATTGCTCAATCAATATCCCCGTCCAAGTGACAGCGCTGACGCAGAAAGTTGACGGAACGATTTTCAATTTCGTCTGCATGTCATCCGCCATTTTGAATTATTTACTGATCACGTGCAGTGTATCCATGCTGGATTTGATCGCCATAAACCGGTATATATTGGTCACCAAGTCGCATCGGATTTACACGTTTCTCTACAACAAAAGAAACATGGTGGTGACGATTGGTGGAGTCTGGTTCTCCTCCGCTGCAGTTCTAATAGCTCTCGGACCTACGGGTGTTGTTCTTTATGGTTACTCGAATGAGTTGTCATTGTGCCAACTTAAGGAAGAGAGTCGCGTCATTGATGTCATCTGTGGATTGCTCTTCTCTGGTTCGTTCATCATCGTTTCATCCTGTTACACCAAGATATACATTCATGTAAGAAAACATTTGCGCCAAGTGGCCCACATTAGACTCGGCCCAGGCCGGCCGACCCCGAGCACGTCAGCTCAGACAAATTCATCTGGGAATATCAGTAATATCATACCCGTGGATACGACTGGGAACCGGCTCGGCGAGACGGCTACTCCGAGACCTTATGAAAAAGAGGATAGTCCTGTGGATGAGACGGAGAATCGGATAACTATGAATATGATCATCATCGTGGTTTGTTTCTTTCTGTGCATCTTGCCTACGTTGGTGATAGTCCTGCTACCTGGTACACAGAATGCAGGGCTCTTTACGGTGGTCTTCCTCTACTCGGCATCATGCTGTAATCCTATCATCTACGCTTGGAAGCATCCCGTCTTCAGGAAGGTCTTCAAGTGCATCTTTAAGAGGAGGTGGGCTGAAATTGAGGAGCCGTCGCCATGGTTACGGGCTATGTTACCGAGATGATTGGGTCTGGGATCAATCTCCCTTGTTATGACAAACTTCTTAATATTCTTCTTCAAAATTGTTATTGAATGAATAAACTTGATGAAAGAATGGACAATATCTGGGTGTGATTCGCAATGTCAGATGAAACTGATTAAAATGTGTCCGAGTACCCCCGGATATAAAATAATAATCGAATCGCTGTTATTTCATGGCACTTTTTCTTGTTTATCAACATTTTCGGAGATCCGTTGAAAAGCTAATCTGAAGCTTGCTGTTCAGGAAGTATTTCAGTAGGAAATTCAAATTGGGCAAAGGCGGAACAATTTCATTGATGAATATTTAATAATGATAATAATAGTGGGTTCTTTAAAAGCGCTCATGTCTGTCAGACGTGACACTCCTGGCGCTCCCGATTATTACCCTGCATGGCTTTAGCATGGCTGCCATTGGTTGCTCTAGCGTTTCATGGAATTAATTCCTGCAAGATAATTGGTGTATATTGAACGAAATTCTTTTATTTTTTCATGAATTTGATAGAGGAATGTAAACAGCATATGCAATATGCTGCTTCATAAAAAATTTGACTTCTGAAAGATCATCGCCATAAGTAATTGATGCTCTTAATTTAATACATTGTGTTGGTGTCGTGTGTTTTTTATAGATTTTTTTATGTTCAAGCTGTAAAAGACATTTCATATTCTCCCATTTTTATTTTTTATCTCTTATTATCAACGGATTATTTATTGAGACAGGGTTGAAATCTGCAGTAAACAATCGGTAAATAAACAGAGGGCAATCACACTCGGACAACTACACCTACACCAAAGAGATTTCCACAATAATTGTTCATGTAAGACTCCCTTCTATATTGCGTGTATAGAAGATGTATTCGAGGGAGGGGTCCTAGTTATCGATAATTTTGTTGGGGTCATAGTCAGATAGTCCTCGGAATGGTTGCCCTAGAATAGAAATAATTAGCATGTCTACCATTTTGACATGAATTATTGTGTCAAAGAGAAACATGACTTGTATGTTTATTGAACCAGTACTGATAAAAACTGAAGATTCATAGATTCATCTACCAAAATGATCTTGTAAAAAAAAAGTTCATGTGAATCCTTTTGCATCGTACAAAAAGGGAGATGAGGAATGAGTCAACAGGCTCATCGGATAATCTATAATGCTGAATGTGGTAATTCTTTCAAATTCAAAATAATGATCTTTCGAATAATTGAAACTTTGCGAAATATATATAAACACGGGAAAGAGGAGGAAAAGAAATGAAGTATATGCTGTGATATTGGGTTTATCAGCTTCAAATCGGATCAATAGATAATAGTCTTTCAACCAGAATGAGTGCGCTCAATATTGTTTTGATAACAGAAATTGGTGGAAAATTGAACTGACGTAAAAATGATTCACTACCAATAAAAATGATATAAAAACCAACAAAATCTGTTCTCATTATGTGTTACTAAAAGGTTCAATTTTTGTCACTTTCTCCATAATAATATGTTTTTTTTTTCACATAGCTTCTACTCTATATTCCTACTTAATAACTATGTTTCCTAAAGTCGTATAGGTTTTTCAGAGGTGTTGAAGAATAGCGGGGAGTTTTCTGCTTAGCATAAAAATTGTCTCTCTGAACGAGGGAAGAATGGAGAAGGGGAGATAGAGAGAGAGGGAGAGAGAGAGAGAGATAGAGAGAGAGAGGGAGAGAGAGAGATAGAGAGAGGGAGATAGAGAGAGAGAGAGAGAGAGAGAGAGACTGAGAGAGAGAGAGAGAGATGAGAGAGGGGAATGGAGAAGTATTATGGAGAGAGGAAAGTGAGAGACACAGATGGAAGAAAGGTATAGAGATGTAGCAAAAATAGAGTTGGGAGAGAGAGGGGAGAGAAATGGAGAGAAATTGAGAGAAAGAGAGAGGGAGAGAAAAGGAGAGAGAGAGAGAGAGAGAGAGAGAGAGAGAGAGAGAGAAGGGACAGATAGTCAAGATAAATTAAGCGAGGAGAGAGAGAGAGGGACCAACAAAAATATAGGGCGGATGGGTAGTTAACTGTTATCCGAATTTGACTAAAGTATTTAGTCTTGTTAATCATTCTTACACAACGTAATCACATTATTAAAGAATTTAACAATGGGATTTGGATTAACAAGAAAAAAATATTTAAGTTTTGAATTCATAAGAAGGGGAATACCATTATTTTGTTTCTATAATCTGACAACATTAACTGTCAACAGTTTATCTTTGTCTGAAAGATTGACTATATAGATAAAATGATTCTGGAATCACTCGTCATGCAGGAAACCACTGGTTCCCATTTACAGACAGTGGTAATACCGGAAATTCATGTCCGCAACGGACATCAACAGACTTCAAAAGGACTAGCACAAACATTCACCTGTTCTATTCACATTGGAGCAGCTGGCAGTCAACACCTCTTCAAAGGTGGGTACAAAATTGTTTGAACGTGCACTATTATCTGTGTTTGACTGCTTTAGAAACATTAATATCATTTCATGAGCCATTACGTCCGTTGCAGGTGCTTTGATACAATTAAACATATTTTTCAATTTCTGTATTAATCGTTGAGTGTTTTCACAATCATTACTGTCACTGTGAGCCTTGTCTGTTAGCTTTTATAGGAAGCAGCACAGCACTGCTAACGTCAATGTACCGTGTGAGTCAAAAAAAAAATTACACCTAGAAAATTGCTAATTATTTTAAAAATTCATTTATGAACAGTAAATTATTATACATCTTACGAAAGAGCGTTTTATCCCAAATCATTTGGTATCATTTTCGTGTGGTATGTGTTCACGCTTAGATGAACAGGTGGCATTGCAAAAATCGACTTGCGCCAAGGTGATGTCCACAGCATGACGGATTAGCGGAGTGAGAGAATGAATTGAATGTATCAAATGAAATGCATTGCATATGCTTGTTGCAGAAGCAAAGTCACACACGCACACACACACGCGCACAAATATTCGTTGATATTTAATATGTGTGGCATGATTAAATTTGTTAGGGATTTTGTTTGGATCTGCAAAAACCGATTTAATACCAAATCCCTATTGTTATATTTAAACATCAGATAAGCAACTTTGGCGCAATTCGATTTTTGCATCTCGCAAACAATGCCTCCTGTTCATTCAAGCGTGAACACATTCCACACACAAAATGATACCACATGATTTGGGATAAAACACTCTTTCGTAAGATGTATAATAATTTACTTTTTATAGATGATTTTTAAAATAATTAGCACTTTTCTAGGTGTAAACTTTTTTTTGACTCACACTGTATAGACTTACTTCGAACCACTCGAGTCATTGCATTCGGGTTCGGGTGGTCGCGTCACGACCTTTCACAAACCATTTTGTGAATGAGAAAGGTTTATTTCACAAACATTGACTCCCGACATTTTGTGAATAAAAGGGGCATGTTTTCACAAAAGGTCGGGTATAACGCGACCACCGGCCGACTCGACGCGATGATTCGAAGTAAGCCAATTTATACGTCCACCATGTCCTAATTAAAAACAAATTGATAATGATGAATTCTAACGACAAATCAGTAAAAGATTACTATGTGACCAACCAAGATTTAGATCAATTTATCTGAATGATTCATGTAGTTTTCAAGAATATTCTCCTGAAACCAAAACTATTTCAACAAGATGAATACGTTTGCTTCTCTGATATGCCTCCGCCTATAATGTGTACATTGATAAATGATCCTATGACCTTTCAAATCATTATGATCTCAATAAAAAACATATGTTTTTCATTTGATTATTGTTTTTAAGTTTTACATACTCGAGCTCAGTTTGGTCCATCACATCGGTTCAATTTTTTTTTAAATTATGACGGTAGTAAGATATTTTCTGATATTTTTCTTTTACGCTTTCATGTCATTTTACCTTTGACCTTTGACCACTTACACCGAAGATCTTATCAGTTCATCATTGGATGCTGATACATACTTCATTCAAGTTCAGTCTGAATTTCTTCAATGCTTTTCGGGTTTTGCGATAACAATAAAGTCAATAAGTCAGAGGCAGAACAATATTCACGTAGAAACTGTCTAATATTCCAAGGAATGACAGAAGCTGAAAATGAAATAACAGATGAATCTATCGTCAAGCTATGCAGAGAGAAAATGAAAATTGAGATTGAATGTAAGGACCTAGACAGAAGTCATAGACTTGGTCATATGAAAGATGGCAAGCCAAGGGGTATTATTGCTAAATTTGCCAACTACAACTGCCGTGATAAAGTATACCGTGCCCGAACACTTCTCCGCAATTGCGAAGGAACTCCCGTGTTCATTCACGAAAGCCTCACCAAGCATCGCAGTGAGTTATTTTGGAAAGTAAAAACTGACTTCAAAGATCATGTAAAAGTGATTTGGACACAAGATGGCCGCGTCATTGCCAGACTGAAAAAGAACGACAGAAAGGTCGTTCTCACAAACAAAGACGACCTCCAGAAACTAAGAGATAAGCTGAATGACTGAGGTGTTTAACAATAATGAGACATAAGTCCACTTAATGAGTCTGTATTATATGGAGAACAGCCGATTGTGCCCCGCTTTTTATGTCCGCAGGCATTTTGATGACCCATAAGCTACTTTCGAAAGTTTTTGTGATTCGTCTAATCTTCTGATCACCGGACCGAGTCAACCCATTCTTCTTCCGATTATAATGAACCACGGATCATGGACCAATCAACGTCGCGTCATTCCGATCCTCAGCATGCTTGGGTCACCTGATGGCGCGAAGTATTTCTCCGACTGGATCAACGTATGTCAGCGGACGATAGTAACGCATCACGTGACTTACAACTCGAACTTTAAGACAGTATACTGTGCAGCCTTTACTAGATTTTTACAAAGAGTTGATGGCGACCGTTATACCTCATCGAGCCCACGACCCCAAGCTTCGTCTTCTTTATAAATTATCTTCTTTTCTTTTTTTTTTTGTAGAATTTTTGAATTAAGACGTTTTTGATTTGTTTATGTTTTTTGTTGTTTTCATACTGTTTTTATAACGATGTCCTTTGTCAATGTTAAGTATAAATACCCATGTGTCTGCTGTAAAAAACCCGTAAAAAAGAATCAGAAAGGTCTCCGTTGTATTGTATGTACAAACTGGTTGCACATTAGCTGTGTTGGAATAACCCCTCAAGTTTACGACAACTTATCAACCTCCTTTGAGAATTGGCATTGTCCAAAATGCTTATTTCAAGAGCTGCCTTTTTCTAATGTGGAACAACTACCTTCGAAATCATTAACAACTACGACCAATCCAGAGTTCAATAATTTACCAAGTGATATAAATCAGGGTAATCTAAAATATGAAGAACTTAATTGCAGGGGTTTAAAGATAACCCAGCTGAATGTAAACAGTCTCATTAGGCATTTAGATGAATTAAAGTCACTGTTATTTTATAATAGTATTGATATATTTGCTATGAATGAGACCAAGATTGACAACTCTGTAAGTGACCACGAGATAGCAATTGAAAATTATGTCACGATTCGAAAAGACCGGAATCGTCAAGGTGGAGGTGTCGCCCTCTATGTTCATAAATCCTTAAAAGTGGAGATCTTACATCATGACTCTCTCAACGATTTAGAAATCGTCGCTGTTGTTGTTCATTCAAAGATTTGTAAACCGCTCTTAGTTACTACATGGTATAGGCCACCGAGTTCTACAATTGATGTACTGAAGGCGTATGAAATATTTCTGCAATATATTGATAGTTTGAAGAAAGATAGCATATTGGTTGGTGATGTAAATTGTGATATATTATTGCAGGTACCTTCCTCGCATACCAGAATGTACGGTGATATTAACGATATCTTTGCTTTTGAGCAGATAAATACGACTGAACCAACAAGAGTAACTAACCAGTCCGCAACTCTAGTAGACCACATGTTAAGCAATTGTTCACATAGAGTTAAATCACACGGTGTCATTCATAATGGATTAAGCGATCATTCCATCAGCTTTCTGGTTCTGAAATCCGAATCGACTTCATTCTCACGTACAGTTCAATTTAGAAATTGCAAAAACTTTGATACCGACAAATTCAAATCAGACCTTAGAAATCAACCTTGGGAAATAATTAAAGACATCGAAAATATTGATGATGCTGTTAGAAAATGGGAAAAACTTTTAATCGATGTAATTGATAAACATATGCCTATTCGAACGAAAAGGTCAAAACAACGTAATACTCCCTGGATGAATTCGAACATATTTAAGCTGATGAAAGATCGAGACAAAATGAAGCATAAAGCTTTCAGGACTAAGAATGGTGATATGATGTCACAGTACAGAAATCTTCGTAATAAAGTTACATTTGAAATTCGAAAGGCGAAACGCAAATATTTTACTGATAAATTTTCAAATGTAAATACTGATCCCAGAAAAACATGGAAAATTTTAAAATCAGTCATTTCTGTTAAAACATGTGATTCTACAATTGGTGATACGAATGAAAGTGTTAAAATAGCGGAAGAGTTTAACTCGTATTTTGCAAGTATTGGTACAACTTTAGCCGAACAAATTCCACCAGGTCACTATTCACACGAAAATAACGCAACCTTGGATAGCACTTTTAGCTTTGTGTCCATAACTGAAACTGACACACTGAACTTAATCAAAAAATTGAAAAATAAAAAATCGATTGGTCTTGATGGAATATCAGTATTTATCTTGAAATTAAGCGCCATTGAAATTGGTCCCATCCTCACGTACTTATTCAACAAATCAATGAAAACTGGAAAATTCCCGAATCCTTGGAAAACGGCTAAGATTGTGCCTTTACATAAGAATGGTGATAAATCTTCCCCTGGTAATTTCAGGCCAATTTCGATATTGCCCTGTGTGTCTAAAATTTTGGAACGAATTGTACAACACCAGTTATTAGATTACCTGCATAAAAATGATATTTTATGTAGAGAACAGTCTGGATTCAGACCTAAACATTCGACAACATCTACCCTAATAAAGGTCACAGATGATTGGCTTCAGGCCATGGACGAGTCTAAATACACAGGTACTATATTTATCGACCTGCGAAAAGCTTTCGACACTGTCGACCATCAAATTCTTATGAAGAAAATGCATAACATTGGTATAAAAAATATGTCGAGTGACTGGTTTTATAGCTATTTGAATGGAAGAACATGTAAAACCCTTGTAAATCATTCTCTTTCATCTTCCAAATTTATATCATGCGGGGTCCCGCAAGGGTCGCTTTTAGGGCCCCTCTTATTTATAATATACGTTAATGATCTTGCCAAATATATTAAATCAAGCAGTCTAAAGTTATATGCAGACGACACAGTGATATATTCCTCCGATACCTCAGTACGCAAAATTGAGTCAACTCTGAACAGTGACCTACTTATTTTACACCAGTGGATGAAGGAAAATAGACTTAGTGTAAATTTTGAAAAAACAGTTTGTATGCTTATTGGTAGTCGATACATGTTGTCAAAAGAAAAGAACTTAAATGTCACCCTCTGTCAGACTAAAATTAAACAAGTGGAAAATGTCAAGTACTTAGGTGTCATTTGTGATGAGCAAATTAAATGGAATATTCACACTGATAAGATGGTGAAAAAAATAGGACAAATGGTAAGCTTTCTTGGTAGATTAAGAAGCACCTTGAATGAATCTATATTAAAACTAATATATAATGCAGTTGTTCTTCCCCACTTCGACTATGGAGATGTTGTATATGGTTCGGCCTGCAAATATTTAACTGAAAGATTACAAAAGCTCCAAAATCGTGCTGGGCGTTTGATTTTACATATCAATCGTGACTCTCATATACCCAATTTAGAAATTCACAATGCCCTTAACTGGGAATCGTTACACGACAGGAGAAATCAGCATTTGCTAACTTATATGTTTAAATCACTTAATGAGATGACCCCTGTTTACATTTCAGACCTTTTTAGTATCTCTGTGCACGAATACCACTTACGCTTTGGCGGAAGACTATATACGCCTAAGCCTAATACTGGATTTTTGAAAAGAACTTTTAAGTATAGAGGAGCTATTGCTTATGATAATCTCCCTGTACTTGTTAGAAATGCCTCAACTCTGAATAGTTTTAAGCGCGAATTAACGTTGTTCTACTCACATGCCCAATCACCCAGACCTTGATAATAAATTGACCTATTCCAGACCCGGGAGGGGGGGGGGATGGACTTTCGTAGTCCTTTCACACAACTACCATTTTGTAGAGTTTAAGCATTTATAACTGTGTATTGTACCTTTTCTTATACCCTTTAATTTAGTAAATAATTGTACGTCATATTTTATATTTATGTATATGATTCCTGGACCCCATGGAAGACCAGCAGTGTCGTGCCTGGCACAGCTGAATATGGGCTATCCAGCCGTTTTATTTACACTATGTATATACTTGTATTATATGTTTGTTTTTAAAACGGAAAATAAATACTATACTATACTATACTAATAAGAGGGAAGGCCGGACGAGCCTCCTTCTTTGATAATTATTTTAAAAAAATATCGTTATTTTCATTTTCATTTTTTTTCTCCATATTTGTTTACTTTATTTATTTGTACTACTATTATTTGTTATGCTTTGCTTTAATTTGCTCTACTTCCTCTCTCTCTAATAGAGGTTCTCGACGGGTCGGGGATGTTCAAGCATACACCAAAAAAACTTGAAGTCCCTCCATTAAATATGTAGAAAAATGTATGCAAGAACCCCAAAGCCTCCACCAATATCATTCTTCTAGATCCACACCTGCCCCCCCCCCCCTTCTCGCTCTCTCTCTCTCTCTCTCTCTCTCTCTCTCTGTGTAGTTCCATACACTGAAATTGTTGTTTTTATCGTTCAGTGGGCTTTTTGAAACTTACTGTTATTCCTTTGCCTATATACCTGTATCTTACCATGTCCTTTTGCTTGTCTCCCTGTCTTTGTCTTTACTCTGACCTCCTCTTTTTCTGTCTAACATCTACCTTCGTCCGTCTTTGTCTGCCCCTTGCCCCCTCCCTCATTAACCCCCGTCTCTTTCTCTCTATCTCTTTCTCTCTCTCTCACACTCACTCCCTGCCTCTCTCTCTCTCTCTCTCTCTCTCTCTCTCTCTCATCTCTTTCCTTCCCATCCCATCCGACTCTCTCTTGAACAGCACCCTGCTCAAGTACGCAATCATCATGGTATACTACGTAATACGCAAGGGTCGGCCTGATGATTGTGGCGCTCTCTTTCGACTCGTCACGGAGACAGCCGAGTTTAGTAGTCAGAAGAAACACCCAGGAAGCGATGACAGAGACACTACCGTAGAAACTAGTGAAGAAAGTAAGCTGTATAACTCAAACTAACTTAATATAGTTAATTTTTTAACCCTATCTCTAAAATCCACTAATCTCAACAACAACAAAATTAGATGCTAGAACGCAAATTGCATAATTAAGTTGTGTTCTTCTAGGGTGAAGGATTTTTTTTTTGTAATGAAATAGATTTGTCAACTGCTATATTTTAGTATTTTTTAATGAATAAGTCATACATTATTGTTCCCGTGGTATATATTTTTCACCAAATATTATTTTTATCTTCTCAGTTATGATTATTCCTCATTGAAGCTAAAGCTTGGTGCATGATACATGTACAACTTCACCTGGTACTTCACATTTTCAAGAAAATGGCTGCGCCCATGTCACGCTAAAAGGCAGGCGCGTACCCAGGATTTTTTCAAGGAGGGGGGGGGGGGGTTAACATTTATAAATCGGGCCGAAAATTTGGCAACGACTCGGCCAGCCGCTGGATAAGCGGGGGGGGGGGGGGGGGGGGGGGGGGGTAAGAGGACACTTTTTTTTAGGTCAGCCATGGGTATTTATATTTTTTTTTAATAATTAAAAACAAACAAAAAAATCCAAGGGGGGGGGGGTTAGGGGGTTTTAGGTTTTTTTTAGGGGGGTTTACACACGTTCAAATACCAAAGGGGGGTTTTAACCCCCCCCCCCCCCCCTGCGTACGCGCCTGCTAAATGGCATCACAATTTTCATGCCAAGAATATCTTCATGTATACATCTCTTGTATATTTTCGTAAGGAATAGTGTACATCAAAGGGCAAGAATACATCTAATTTTTTAGAAAACCTACACTTATTCTTCGGGGTGAGGTTTCCCTTAAGGAAACGATTTTACAGCTTGGGGTTATCACTTTAATGAAGTTTCAAAAGTGTATTTGCTCGCAATACATAGAAACGGGTAAACTTGATGCTTGGACAAGCGACATTCACCCGATGAATAATTGCCAGTATGCCTGCATGTCTACAATCACAACCATCATCACTATGACAACAAAATTCATTTCGCCAGTCTTCATTGCGTTTCACATCAGTACATTGGTAGCTCATGGATTGTCCATGTTTAAATATTGATAAAGACCTCAACTTTGTCAATAGTAACATCTACAATATTCATGCTTGATGGAGAATCGGAGACAATTTGTAGATTTGTTTCATTAAAATGCCCTCTGCATGTCAGAATCCGAATCCTTAATTCATAGTTAGCAATATAGGAATTATTGTGCCCCAATTTAATTTGATCCTGTTCCACAAATATATCAAAATTATGACTGTATCATTTGAAATGTTAGAAAACATAATGTTTCTTTTCACACAGACTGTGATATTGGTGTACATTCGATAGTGTAGACAAAAAGGGGCAGGGGCAAACTCCTCCTCCACCACCCATTAATGAATACTTAGGGTTTTGTCAGCACCTTATTGTTTAACATTCAAATCAAATGTCATATTAGTTTATTGTCCGGTTCAATTTGTCGGCACGTCCTTTTTGAGCTGCTCCACTGATTTGTAACAGCTTGCAAATAATTATAATGTATTCCCCCTTTTTCCAGTTTTGAGGAGAGATGCGTTTTCCGACAGACCCCAATTTTCCTTCTTCGTCGTGGAGTGCTATTTCTCAAAAGAACAACTTGATCGAAATGATGGTGAAATCATTGGCTTCTCGACATTCAATGAAATGTACAGCATATACAAGGGCAAATCAGGCTACATGAGCGGTATGTTTGTCACTTCAAAACACCGAGGTAGGTTGAATGGAAATTATAGTTATCATGGTTACGAGACGCAATAAAAAGTAGTTCATACAAAGAGAGACAAGTAGAGTTTGTCCATCGGTATATCACCATGGATACCGAAAAGAGCATCAATTCAAGGGTTTAGTCTACTCCATTCTTCATTTCCGTACAATGATTGTTGTCATTTCTATCTCTCTGGTGATCCTTATTCTTCCCTCCTTTTATAGATCATTATCTAGATCAATTGAATTCATGCATCCAATCGTTATGGGCTTCGGATTGATTTGAGGAAGTTCCGTGTTTGAATTGATTTATTGATATCATAATTATTGATTATTGCGACGATGAATTTGAACAAATGAAAAAAATTCAACGGACAGTGTCTGGTACGTGCTGTTACTTAGTTCCCTATGATGATAAAGTAAGATCCTTTCAGTTTCCAGGGCAATGTTATTGACATCTTACCCGATAAGAATCATATTCATACAAAAAAGTCATTGTTATCATTATTTTTTGTACGTATTACTATGATTGTTGCTCGTGTTGTTCTTGTCGTTGTTAATATTACTGTATTTTTACCAGATTTTTTTTTACCCAGATTTAAAACACATTACGTGCATTTAGTATTTATATCTGATCTTTGTTATATTGAATAATAAATATGCATATAAATCATTTCAAAATTTTCCAAATATTATAATAATTATGTGTGTGTATAATGTATTTTTTGTATTTTGTTTTGGTGCCAGGTAACAGCTTAGCCCCGGTGTTGTTTAAAACTACTGCAAAGGTAAATCGAGCCCTTTCTATTTATATAATGAGACATTATACCATTGGTAAACAGCTGTATTCTGTAGGTGGGGACATTGTCGGTTATTTGCTAAACTTTCGTAATGGATTAGGCGGATCCACATACAGAGAAAAACAAATTAAAAATGATTAGAATTTACATAAAGTTTATCGGACCCTATGATAATTGCTTGTAACAAACTAACTATCTTAGATTCACCCCCCCCCCCCTTTTTTTTTTCCCCTCTCTCTCTCTCGCTCTCTCTCTCTCTCTCTCTCTCTCTCTCTCTCTCTCTCTCTCTCTCTCTCTCTATCTCTCCCTCCCTGTTAGGCATGTCTGGATGCAGGTTGTAACTCGCTCATGTGGGGCGTATCGAGGTGGAATTTTGGCGGGAAAACATTCTACCAGAAACTCGGAGCAATCAACATGACTGATCGAGAACAGCGAGAATTCATGACGCTAAACCACGAGAAAATGACCAAGATGGTGGAGGAATATCAGCCGGGCATCTCCGGCGGTGTTGAAATTTTATACCGGTAAAAAAAGGACTCCGCAAGACCTACATTGCGGTTGTGAAAGATAATTCAAGAACTTGACATTACAAAGTATTTTTCTCGCCATGTTTCCGTGTCAATACTTATGCCTCCCCCCCCCCCCCCCTCCTCCGCTTGACATATGTTGACATATTAAACTTTTGTTATCGAACGTTAGCCTATATTTCTGGTCAATCATATTTTTTGTAAGCAAGATTTATGTTCTTAGGCGGCTCCTCCATGCCAAAATTCAATTGCGGTACAGATATATAGGGGAAGGGGTAAGGGCCAGTCGAATGGCGGAAAAAAGGGGGGAGGGGGTAAAAGGAAAAGGGAAAAAGAAGATAGAGTAGTAGCGATTTTATAGAGGGGCTATGGAGTCTCAAGCCCACCCCAAATTGATTCAATCCCCTGCACTCCCCCCCCCCCCAAAAAAAAAGAAGGGGGCGCATGTATCATGAATACAAGAACCCAACCCTCCCCTGAGCTGATACCATAATTTGTATAAATAAATCTGAATGTATTCACCGAATAGGATCAGTATCCCCACCCCAAGAGATTAGTTATTATATCGATTTCTTCAATGTATTTTGGGGATGATAATAGTAAATGTCTTTACCATTTTGACAAATTCAATATAGCACCCTCCCCCCTCCTCACACACAAACACACACACGTACACATACATAACTCTATTTCAAGGCGTCTAATTCGATCAGGAAAGGAATCCCCCAACTTGTTTGTTTGTTTGTTTGTTTGTTTTTTGTTTGTTTTGGGTTCTTTTTGAAATCTCTATCTCTCTCTCTCCGGGGAAATTTTTTTCTTTTCAGAAGTAGCACTGTATTTTTTAAAATTATTTTTGTTTATTGACAGATTATAATATTTTGTGTACAAGCATTTATTTATTTTGTTTACTTCAATAGATAAAGCGTTTTTGAAGAAAAAAAAGAACATGAAATGTATCATTATTGTTATTACTATTATTGTTTTAAACGAATAAGGAAATGTATGAAAGAGTTGTTTTGTTTAGCAATTGATGTTAATTAAGAATTATACTTTTGTATTGTATTTTGATTATTTTGAATGTGATGTAAAGTCATCATGATGTAAATTGCATTCTTTTGATTATGTACTACCTCTGGTATTGAGGAAATAAATTAATAAAAAAATTAAAAACCTGTTGTTTATTTTGACACGCCCCCCCCCCCCGAGCCCTACCATTCTGTTCATCCCATATTCTACCCAAAATGCCCCTAAATCCTGAACTAAATTCGACTTAAGCCCAATTACCTCGGTTACCAATAATGAAGAATTTTTTTGAAGAAGCATAATGATCATCCTGTATTTCATCAACTAGTTGTAAGATTTGGCGTATCGACCCCCTCTCGGTGTATAAAAGTACAAACATATTCACATATTATCAATATAGCAATAGTATAACATCAAAAATGATAAACATATGATAATATGAACAAAGATAAACATTTGATACTATATAATTATCAAATTATCAACTTATGTGTTTACTAGTAGTATACAGTTATAGGACGCTTTTGCCTAGATGTGATCTGATATTTGAATACACCTGCAGTATACCAGTGGCGGATCCAGGGGGGGGGGGCGACACAGGGGGCACGTGCCCCCCCCCCCCCCCGGCCCCCCAAAAATGCTGAAATCAGCCCCAAATTAGCCAAAAATGTACTGGCAAACAGGGACGTATCCCCCCGCCCCCCCCCCCCAAAAAAAAAATTAAAAAAATTAAAAAAAATTAGTGCGCACCCCCCCCCCCCCCCCACCCCCACTGAGCGGAAATTGCGGCCGGCGCGATTTTCAAATATTCGGGAGCAAAAAAAATGTGCTCTTACCCCCCCCCCCCCCCCCCCCCCCCCCCACGTGAAGAAATTCCTGGATCCGCCCCTGTATACCGACATCAAACTTTTTATAAAACAAAGATATCTTAGTGATTGACAATGACAATGACATTTATTCTCATGTCACCCATGACCAAGGTATTGAAGAATACCATCAATCATATTTGTACCAATAATATATTATTTAATTATGTACAAACAAAAAAGAAATTAAAGCAATATACAAATAGGCAAATACTCACTAATAAAATGATCGAGTAATATGAATTAATTAATAAAGACTTTATAATGAATAAATTAGAATGAAAGTGGGGTCCTCACAAATAAACAACCAGAAATAAAAGAAATAATATAAGAAGTTCCTGAATAAAGGCCACTAGGACATGTGTTTTGTTTTTTCTGAGCTGACTGTTTCACTCTGCATCTGACTTCTGCACTGAGTGAAAAGATAGCTTGAGCGTGAGGTAAGTTAAAGAGAATTATAGACTTTTTTTAATTGTAGCGATAAAATATCTTGCAGTGCTAAATAAGGCCATGATTAGAGGAAATAAGGATCCAACTGAACGACTCGCGAAGAGATGTTGAGAGTACTGTCCCATACGTCCAATTTTGTGTTTGTAGTCAGGTAGCTAGTAGGCCGTAGGGGACTTTCAAAGAACTTCTATTTTCTGCAGACGACTGTAATCCTCTACATTTCTAAGGTATGACATTTCTTCGATATCGTATATTTGCGATTTGTCTGCGTTTACAAGGATATCCTCGTTTATGCAGACGATCCTCATTCTCGGACCAGAGCAGAGCAGAGCCCCTAGTCCCTACTGATTTCATATCTTTAAAACAAATTATGATTGATTTTTTAACCATGGGATTTCAAAAGAGTTGATACCACTTTTCAGAAGAGTATGTTAATACTAGTGTCCTATGTTGTACATATATATGTCTGACCAACATCAAACATTTTTTCTCTTTTATCTTGATGTAGATCTAGGTTTATTTGTGAATGATAATATTTCATGAAATTGAAAGTCACCAACTCCAGTGAGCTCGACGCTGATGCGTGCCGGAGCTCCCTGGAGTTCGAAAGTCACTAGACTTAAACTACTTTAATCCACAAATCCTTGACTGATTGTTGTATTTTTAATGCCTAAATCTCTTTACTTTTATTCATTTTTTTAAGTTTTAGGGTTTCTTTCATTCCTCATTTATATTTTTATATTTTTTTCTTTCATTCCTCAATTCCCACCAAATGAAGGGAATCTTCATTTTATTTTAAGCAAAGATGTTTCCTTATTTTCATTTTTTTACAGGTTAGAATCTGAGAGAAAGTTTTTCAGCGAGCCGATACCAGTAAAAATACACGTCTTCCAAGTTCCAAACTCATTGTTTTCAAGATGCCATCAAAGAGCAAAGGGAGGAAGAGTGTTGCTGGCATCAAACCGAATCCATCGTCCTCCCTATCAGGAGCTGAAGATGAAGTTTATTTTGAGTTGCAGAGAATCTTGAGGAACAGGATGTGTGGTTCTGAACTACCAGCCAGTCTTCCACATCTGCAGGATCAGAGAAGGTAAGACTTCAAGCAGTAAAAAAGGCTGGGTAGCTTTTCATGAAACCATCTAGGACAAGCTTGCCTACATCTCTTTGAAAAGTGTATGAAATTTGAAGAAAAGTTAATGGGATGTCGATGAACTTGTGTATCTAAAAAATTATTCCCTGGTCTCTTGTCTCGTTCACATGTATTGTGGTAAATCTTAAAAAACAAAAAATTATTTAACGGCTGGCAGTAATTATGTGGAATGTGCAATAATTAAGATACCCTGATTTTTACATGCAAGATATACATAATGGTAATCTAAGATCTATATTGGTTATAAGATAAGATATAAATATAGTTCAGATTGTGTATCTAAAAGAAATGAGATGCATTCTTACAACAGGACATGCCTTTCTCATAAAAATCTAGTGTCCTTTGATATGATTTGATATTGTTAAGCATGCATGCTTGTGTTACAATAAAACCACTGATAGATCATTAACTGATAGTAATTGTTTTTTTCTGTCTACTCCATGCAGGCATTTGATGGATATCATAGAGCGCTGTGCTACTCAAGGTGAGAGCAACTCAGCCCTGGTTATTGGTCCTCGTGGAAGTGGAAAGTCAATGGTAAGGCTTGGAAGATATATTGAATGCTTACTCATGGTCAAACAAATGATGCACTTTAGATATTTAGGTAACATTTTGATCATTCAAATACTGGACTTGGTTGTCTGGATTTGGGTCCTTTCTTTGACTTGGGTTTAACTACACATTTTGGGATATTGTATTGAAATTAAAGAGTAAGACTTGTGGAAGCATGAAAACCCAAAAGCTAATATATCTGTAGTAGTGATTCTTTGGCTTAATTTTAGGCTTTTATTTGATAATTTTGCAAGTGTACTCCTTGGGTTTTGTCTGTGACAAGTGTATTTGGCAAGAAAAAGAAATAAATCAACAACAATTGGGAAGAAATCTGTAAAAACACATAAACATTGACTACTTTTCACCAAATACTGTTCTACCCTTATTGGGACTTGGTAACATCGTTCAGATGAGAGATAGTGGTGCTAAGGAAGTGACTTCAATGCTCGATGTACAATTAAAGATAATCTAAAAATCTGAGTGAAAACGGACCATTATTAATGATACAAAGTGGGAAAAACTGATCTGATCGATTCCTTAATTCTCCCAACTATATTATTACAATTCAACTTTCAACGATGTTACCGAGTCACTTTAATCAATTTTTTTATTGGTATGAAAAATTCACAGTGGATTTGTTACCTAAAAAATACTGAAAGTTGTGAAATGGTGTCATGAAAATTGAGAATTCCAGATAATTTGATTATTTCCCATTACATCAGAAAGGTCAAGTCGGGTCACTGAAGAAGGCTGGAGCTGAAACACTAAAAATATCAGAGGTAAAGATTTTTGTATTGAGAGCAAAAGTTAAACTCTCAATATAATATGGTTTCAACTTTGATATCCGATCTTGCTTTACAGCTGCTGAAGCATGTCCTGGCTGAACTGGTGAAGAATCGTAAGGTCTCCACCAACCTGCTTCAGGTGCGTCTGAATGGTCTGCTCCAGACGGATGATAGGATCGCTATCCAGGAGATCACAAGACAACTCAAGCTCGAGAATGTTGCAGAAGAGAAAGTCTTTGTAAGTTGCAGGAATGAATGCTCAATCATCACAGACTCTACGCAATGAACTGTGTGCATGCAATGTATGCTGCTAGGTTAGGCATATACCAGAGTGCCTGTACAACTAGCACAACAACATGTACTCTAATCGAAATATCCATCCACTCTTGGTTTTACTACAGAAACCATCTGAATTAAAGCAAAAATGTACTATAAATTCATAAAATCTTGTCTATTGGCTGCTCTTTTGAACGAACTTTAAATGTCAAAATATCAATTCTTCCTCAAAATAACCATTGCAATATACTATCGAATCATGGAACTATTTTTTGTTAGCAAACCTTTCAGCGGCACCTTTGTGGAAATTTACAAAAGTCATCTACGTACGAAAAAAGGACAAATCTAAATTCCAACACTACAATTTGATGTACAATTGATCGAAGGAGATTTTAAAATCCACCACAATGGTTATAAAATGGCCGATAGCCTGAATGATATGATATGAGAGGACTCCTCAAATTGTATTTATTTGTGTTGTAGAAACAGTGGTGTTTGGGGGGAATTTTGTTCCTTCTATATTTTGCAGTTAATCAAAATTGTGTTTCTACATTCATATTCACAGGGTTCCTTTTCTGAAAATCTAGCATTTCTGCTGGAGTCTTTAAAGAAGGGTGAGATTAATTGATTATTTGATTATTTTGTAATTTACTCTTAAAGTGAGGTAATTTGACTAATCTTTATTTGAAAAAGGAATGATTTAATGTTGTACGATTAAATCCCTTTATAGATAGAAGAGTGAATAAGGTAACCAATTTGGTTCATGAAGAAAAACGTCTATACTTCAGATTTCACCTCTCCAGTCTCATTACTGGCAATGTTAGTTATGTTAGATGAAACGGCAGCCTCTGGAAAAGATATTAATATTGTGTAAAAGCTGGCATAAACGTGCATTTGGGAACAAGAAAAACTAAAAGATATAGCAGTCTTGACTTTTATTCCTCTTACATCATAACTACAAATGTCAACGAGCATCTGTCTTTGGAATTCAATTACAATTTTGTGAAATTGTTTCTTTTAATGATAGGTTTATTAATTGTCTTACCAAATCTGATAATAAATATTCATTAGTTATTTACCGACTACTTCAGTAAGTCATTAGCACTCATGAACAGCTTTTATTCTGTGTGATTCAAAGGTGTTTTTGTGAGAGAAAAAAAATATAATAGCATAAAAGATAAAATTCCTAAATGCCACCACAAACTCTCTCTCTCCCTCTCTTTCTCTCTCTCTGTCTCTTTCTGTCTCTGTCTCTCTTTCTCTCCCCCTCTCTCTCCCCTCTCTCTCTCTCTCTCTCTCTCTGATCATCCTGAAATTTAAAATGTACTTTAATCCATCAGATTCCAGTGGAGCCCAGTCCATTCTGTTCATCGTGGATGAGTTTGATCTGTATGCCCATCATAAGAATCAGACTCTCCTCTACAATCTCTTTGATATCTGCCAGTCAGCCCAGACACCCATCACAGTCATTGGAGTCACCTGCAGACTGGTAGGATGTAGTCAAGGCTTCTTTCTCATTGCTTTCCTTTGAAAGCATCATTTAACAATGTTAAATCTGAGATGCATGGCCCTATGTGTTATCAGTGTCTGTGATACGGTGTAATATTGAAACCCTAAAAACATTGCACTTCAAAATGATCATGAAGTGCCTCAAAAAAGTTTTAATCTTTGAGTGACCGGTTTTACCATACCGGTACTCATTTTTCCCAATAGACTGTAGTGTTATAAAAAATGTTAGGGAAACAAAAAATGAAGTTTCCACTTCCAATCGTAAATATCTTGATAATCAGACAGGCGATTGGCTTGTGAAAGTCATGGGATTCCTGACTGACCTAAAGGTTTATAATTATGATCGCAGCATGAGCTGAATCCAGGATTTTGCTTCAGAATCTGAGGCAATGTAACTTTAAGTGGGTGCTTAGAAATAAAGTAGTAATTGCTTGTAAATAAGCCTAAAGGATAAAGCTGAGTTCTTATCCTCGTCTTATAAAAGAGTTGTAGTTGATTACAAATAATTTGCAATTTATATCAGTCTCTATCGCAGGCAGCCTCATTACTATTATACAACATGAATTCCCTTGAATATAATGCCACTGCTATGCAGACACACACATTTATTTGTCTTTCAGGTCTAATGTACTTGCTCAAGAGCAAAGAATTTAAGCAATAGAAGCATGTGTTGATTATATTGGTGGATGAATGCTTCAAATAAACTGATGCTAAATGATAGGAAAACAAAATAGTTGCTTATTGGCACTTCTAAAGAAGTATCCAAACTTAATTTCAGTGGGGAATCTGTCAGAAGTTCTGTCATAAAAACATCACTCAGTGCTAGAAATCAGTAGCACTTTATATGGAAGCACAAATTACAAACATGGGTATTCAACATACCATATAACCTCCGACGTATTCAAGAGTATTTTGATCAGGACAGTACTAAAACAATTTTTCATGCTTGCATCACTAGTAAGTTAGTCTACTGTAATGGGTTATTGAATTGACTCTCTGACTCCCAAATAGGGCGACTACAGCAGGTCCGAAACTCTTGTGCAAGACTAATTTGTTGTTGTTCCAAATTCTCATCTCTCTCTTGATAGATCTGCACTGGCAACCAGTATGCCAAAGAATACCATTCAAGTTTCTGTTGACTATCTATAAGTACTAAGTGGTCAATCCCCTAGGTATATGGTAGAACTATTACAACTGAAGTTTAATAAACATACTCACAACCTGCACAGCTCCCAAGAATATTCCAAACCCCATCACACAAAAAAAGAATAACATTGGGAGATTGAGCATTTGTATGGTCACTTTGGTGTGGAAAAACTTACCGTTAGAAATTCACCATCTTTTACTAATTGTTATGAATCAAAACTAAAAGCACATCTTTTCATTTAAAGGTAATACAAAGTTTTGGGAAATTTTGAAAATATCGGGTGGATAGTAATTCTTGTCAATTTTGATATATTCGGATTCCCCTGTGAATGTATTATAAGCACTAGAAAATTTAGCCCCTAAAAGACTTCTGCTTTTGAGAAAAATTGAATATAAAAATTTACCGTTGCTCCTGGTAAATTTTGATAAATTTCAAATAGCGCCTACGGCTGTTCAACGGCAACTGCGACAATGAAAATCTCAGAATATGTAGTTGTGATATGTAATTTCCATATGATAGCTTATCGGTCGATCTTAGTCAATAAACATTGTTTTATAGCTGAATTAATATCTTGACTTTGAGAGCGAGCTATACAACACAAAGAGTTTATTATTTACAATATCATAATTTAAGACTCAATTTCAAACGCGACAACAATCACTGAATATTGTAGGATCGCATATGCTTCCAATATGTTCATTTGAACCAAATTCATGAACCCATACCAACACTTTGTATTACCTTTAACTTGATGTTGTAATCAATCACAACTCTTTTTTAAGATGAGGGCCCTCGTCACGACAATAGTTTTGAGCCCATTTATTTATTATATAATATGTATATTAAAGCTTTATTTTGGTGTAATTATAAAGTACCACCAGAATACTATATTTATCATTATTTATGGAGAGCTACTTTTTGTAAAAGTTTAATAATGCTGTATGAGGGATATCTGTGTCCTATTAGACAATCTCTCAATTTATTTCAGCCCCAAATGGAAAGTACTTGATATGACGAATGACTAATGCACTTAAAATATGTTCCAAATATCTTAACATATCATTTTTGTATTAATGTCTGTTCATAGGACGTTGTGGAACTGCTGGAGAAGAGGGTCAAATCACGCTTCTCTCACCGACAGATTCATGTCTTTAACACCTTGACCTTTGACCAGTACTGCGAAGTCTTCAGGAAAACCCTTATGCTGCCCTCTAATTTCATGGACAAAACATTTGCCAAAGAATGGAACAATCACATTGAGGTATGTAACACTTACAAAAGAAGTCCCATCAGACTTTTGTCTTATTACTGATGAGAGAAACGGATTTGACGAAGAATGATATCCATTGTATATGAGGTGTCATTTAAGGGCTTGTTAGATGGTTTATACCTGGTTTATTTGTAAAAAAACAAAATTAACTGTTGTAGGTCGGACCTTCAGCAATATGTGCTAAGGAGCTTTTTTTATCAATTTTATCATCTCAATGGAAATACTCATTGGCAGCTGATTTTGAGGGACAGACCTCAACTGTAATATCTTTTAGCTAATGGTTTTACTCTTTCCATGTGACATAAGTTCCAAAATAGTCATTTAGGCCGTGTTTATCAGGGTTTTTTTTTTTTTTTTTTTTTTGTTGTTATAGGTGTGATTACCTTTATGGCTAACTGTGTAGGTACATGTGCACATAGTTTTGTTGTCATTGTTACTGGTGAAACCAGTTTTAAATCAGTTCATTTTTATATTTGTTATGTTTTATTCTAACCAGATGCTTACAGAAGATGCCACCATCACCGAGATACTGCAGAAGACCTATAGCTTGGACAAATCAGTTAGGAGTCTATACAGTCTAATGGTAAGAGGTCAAAAGTCATCAATAACAAGTACTTGACACACACATTCAATGCTGTGGGCAGTTCAATATTCAGCTCTAAAGATAAACTCTTTACACTCTTATTGCACTTAAAATAAGGCAGTTTTTTATTTATCTCACTGTTAAGAAAATATGAAATAAGTAATATCAAATGAATGATAATTTATTCCCATTTAGATGATGATGGAAGCATTTTTTCGAATATGACATTGGATAGTGTTAATTAGGGATGTTTAGAAATTTAGAAGCCCTGCGAGGATTCAGTAGAATCTGACGAATTATGAATTCCAACGATGGACACATTTTCATCATTCATACAACTGCTTAAGGATACCCACGTTCAAATTTTTGTTTGTGTGTGTGAATTACTGATTGCTGCCGGATTCTTATTTTAGGCACCCGTCTTTTTCTTTTATTTCATTTTATGCCTTCTTTTGGAATAGTATTGATTAAATAATTATTTCTTTTGTACACAAGGCACATCAAAATATACTTTGGTAACAAATGAAAAACTGCAATGCATATTGTAGTTTGTGTAATATATAAATATAAAAAGCACCCATGCATGATTTTTGTTAACCTCTTTTAGAATAAGAGACCATCCTGAATAGCTCTGATGAGTCATTTAAGCTACAACACATTTTTTTTCTTCTTTTCAGTTGTTGCCAATTGCAAGAATCGGTGCAGATCATCCTACATTTGAGGGTCATCAACTACTGGAGAGTCGAAAGATACACAGTACTGATTCAAAGGCTGCTATGTTACACGGTAGGGTTTCAATAATGATTGTGCAAAACAAGAAAAAGCTTTAATAACTATGATATTTGACAAGACATAGTTTATTCAGTTTAGACCCTCCTTTGAATATTTACCTTTCATATTGTATCTACATCCCTCTATTTTTATATAATTAATTGTTTTCTTCATGTGATTTCCTCTTTGTTCTCTCACTCTCTCTCTCTCTCTCTCTCTCTCTCTTCTGTCATGTTCTTGTTCTTGTTTTTCCTCTTCTTCTTTTCCTTCTTCTTGGTCAACCTTCCTGTTTCTTTTATACTTTTCCTTTTTGATTTCTCCTCATTTTCATTAGTCATTACAAAACTAGAAAGTGACATCTTTCGAAAATATTGTATATTTATAGATTACATATGTTTTAAAGTCTGAGGGTCTTTATATGAGATGAACAAGGCATCTGTTTTCTAAGATGTTGTTATTGGACAAAAATTCTGTGGGAAGGGATTTTGATATAGGGTTTCTTGCGTCAAATGAAACCTTAGAATTAACAGGAAGATAAACATTTACATTTTTTTGACACAAACAACCCAGTGATTTTTCTTATAAATGATTAACCATATGTACTGAATTTGTTGTGTATTCTCTCATTAATAAAGTCTCATTTATCAAGGACTGAGAATTGTCATGAATGTAAACTTTTCATAGTCAAGATTTATAAATATGTAACTTCTGATTCTATTGTAAAATTTGTAAATCTACAACAAAGGTAATCTGACCAATTGCTTTCATGGAAGGGTGATTTCATGGAATGAAACAATTGGTAGATTGATCGTGTTACAGAATCATTGCTATTTTTTTTTACAGATCAGCCCTGTTACATTTGGAGCCATTTAGCCACAAAATATTGTTCTATACCTGCTCAAAATCCCATTTGAGATCAAATCGTTAATTTATTCCACAATAGTCAGTTTCCAATTCCTATGTTTAGAGGGAAGTTCTTAAATGGTGTTTTCTTTTATTCTTACATTTCTACATTTTGTCTTTTTTCCATTTCGATAATTGTTCTATTTTTGCCCTATGGCACGAGTAGACGCTGTTTTGAAGTGCTCCTGAAAATCATGAATTGTACATCTTATTTTCCTACCTATGTATATGCATATAAGTGATATACATGTATATTCATCTTGGCATCATCCATTGATTCGAACTATCTGATTAATCCTCAAGAACCACATGTGAAAAGGGATGCCTTACCTTTAATATCTGATTCAACCTGTGATTATGTTGTAGGTGTATCTGTACTACAGCTGTGTCTTATCATTGCCATGCGTCACCTCACAGACCTCTATGAAGGAGATCCGTTCAACTTTGAGATGGTTTACAATGGTGAGTAGCTTCCTTCTGTCTAACCTGTTTTAGTGGCCACCTCTCTATAAAGAAATAATACCTGTTTATAGTGGTCATCCTATTGCCTCCCTCTAGAAGGAAATGTGTATAAAGAACCTGCCTAAATACGCCACCTGTCTAACGTGGCCACTTTTTGTGTTTCTGTTCAGTGGCCTTTCTAGACAGGTTTGACTGTACTTTGTAGATGCAGAAACAAAATGTTTTAGGGAATTTTATGATACACAAAAACAGATCAAAAACATACGCTGTGGGTATCACTTTATTAGAAAATACCTAAACAAATTTTACAAGGGCACATTTTTCTTCCATTTTCATTTAAAATATCTTATCATACAAAAAGTGGCACATGAAGAAAAATATATAAACCTAATCATGAATAAAAGATCTTACCTATTGCAAAATGGTATTACATAAGTTTCTAGAAGTCTTTCATCTACGGCTTATTGTCAATGAAACGGAGTTAAGTCTTTTGTTAATTCCATTTGTTGCTTAGGCAGGCAGCCAGTGAGAACAAATTTGTTTGATAAAATTATGGAAATGCAAGCACTACCTTAAACATACAGAACTTTGTTATTCCTAGCTCATTTTTCCTGATTGAGGTGTCATATGAAAGGGCAGAAACTCAACTTTCTAGAAATGTGATCCTCTCTTCAAATTCATTTTAATCACTTATGCGTGAAATATGCATTATATGAATTGCATTAAATGAAAGAGGAGGATCTAAGCTTTCCAAATATGTGTTATTTATCAATTATAATTGTGATTAAGTTATGATAAAACATCGATAATTCTTGGTTTCGTTTTTTCTGGGACGCACTGTATATACAGTAGCTTTAACAGGCATATATAGATAGAATATCTCTATGAAAAAACTGTGCCCCTTGACTTTGTCTCGGGCATAGTACAGTTTAGAGATCACCTTAGGCAATGAGGTGAAAAGCAGTAAATATGTATATATTATTTGCCAGTGTTTCTATCAGAAATAATAGGGAATGTGTCTTTTTGTTCATCCATATTGACTATTATTACCCGTATCAGACATCTGAGCTGGTCATTTACAAAACCGTATTGCCCTAGTTTTCACTAGCAGTGGGAACGGAGGGGTATATTCTTTGTATTTTCCTTGGTCTCCCTGCGCGTATTGACTTTGCGTGTAGAGACGAGTGAAAATATACCTTGGTATTTTCCACGGTCTCGCATTTTCATTGCGCATCTATTAATATTATGCGTACGAGAACCTGCGCACTTTGCGCGCACTGTATTGTGACGTAATAATCAAACCAAATACACACTGTTTGTAGTGTATCGAAAATTTTGTCAAGCACTGGATGCAAAGTGTTGGTTTGACAAAGTTTGTTCAGTTCTTGAGATTGTCATGGTGGATGTCTGTATTTGCTCTAGATGTCTGATTTGGATAACAATAAAAATATTGACTGGCTTTACTTTCGGGGGATATCAGAAATATTGACCACGCTAAGACCATATTGCCCTCGTCTTTCGACTCGGGGCAATATGATCTGAGCTTGGTCAATATTTCTGATATACCCCTCAAGGCCAGTCAATATTATATAATTATTAGGCCTAAAATAAAAACTTGTTGTATTGCCCTTTGGGTGCCAAAACATGGGTCGGTCGGTCGGAAAAGTTTTTTTTTTTTTAAACTTTTTTTTTGTTGCCCTCTTTTGGCCGATATTTTTCGGATTTGAATGTTTTTTTTTTTTATGCCTCCGCCACCGAAGGTGGTGCCGGAGGCATCATGTTTTCGGGTTGTCCGTCCGTACGTCCGTACGTCCGTCCCGTTTGACCGTTATCACAATATCTCAAGAACCATTTAAGATTTAAACTTAAGACTCGGGAATAGTATTTATCACCATTTTTTTTTTTTTTTTTTTTTTTTTTCAGTTCAGTTCATTTATTCAATTCATTTCTAAAATGTACAGACAGTTGTACGTGACAAAAAACATACATATTTACAAGTCATGAAATAAAAAGCAATAAATATTATAAGTAGGCCTATTACATTGTAAGAAAATGAATTATGAGAACTTTAAAATAAAGCCAGATTGGCCTTGTGAAAAAAAAAGTCCCCATTTGCTAGAGAGTGATTTGGAGGCTTCATAATAATAGTTTCAAATTTGTACAACAAAGGGAAAAGAAACAAGCAATGGATATGAATATATACATGCATAGAATATGAAATACAAAATACCTACATGTAGATGCCAACAGATATAAAGTGCATCCAAGTAATTACCCGATTCCCCCCCCCAAAAAAAAAAAAACAACAAAACAAAACAAAACAACAACAACAACCTAAAAACCTAAATTACTTCCTTTTTCAAGTGGATGTTTTCAAATATCAAAGAGTTGCAAACTAAGCATATTTTGAAATAAAATATTGTTTCAATTTTCTTTTAAAGAAAGAAAGAGAGAGAGAGATGCATGAACAAATATAATTGGGAAGTGAGTTCCAGATTGTTGGGAAACTATATCGAACTGACCGTTGTACAAAGGTTTTCCCGACTTTCCATAAATGAAATAAGCTGCTGTTTCGTGTGCCATGGGAATGAATTTCTTTATTTATAGTGAACATTTTAACAATATTTTTGGGGAGGATACTCTTGAAGTAAAAATATCCAAGTAGGATAGTATGATATTGGTATAAATGGAAAATGTTCAAAGTATTCAATTTATGGAAAAGGGGAGCCGAATGAGTAAGATAATGACTACCAGTACATATTCGTATTGCCCTCTTTTGTAATTTGAAAATGACATCTAATTTGGTTTTACTACAATTTCCCCAGACAGTTATACAATATAAGATATGTGATAATATTAAGGCGTTATACAGTGAGAATAAGGCTGAACCAGGAAGACAGCTTCTTAATTTATACATAATACCAATGCATTTAGATATTTTGGTACTTAAATAGTTAATATGTGAATCCCACTTCAAATTTTCATCTATATTGACTCCAAGAAAACAAATAGATTTAGATTTAGTTATTGGTGTAGAATCGATACTTAATGTAAGATCATTGCAGGTTTTAGTCGCATTGGACAGCTTATTATGGAAAGATATAAAACAAGTTTTAGTCAGATTAAGTATTAATTTATTGGCCTTAAACCATTTAGATATGTTATGTAGTTCAACATTAATATTCTCTTGCATATCTTTTAAATCCGGCTGAGTAAAGAACAAAGTGGTATCGTCTGCATACATAATAAAGTCAAATTTGGTAGATGATTTTTCAATATCGTTAACGTATATGAGAAATAATAGGGGACCTAATATAGAACCTTGTGGAACCCCGTGTTTAATTAAACTATGACTGGAAGAAGCATCATTGAATATGGTAAATTGATAACGACTACATAGATAGTTTTTAAACCATATGAGTGGGAGGCCATGTACACCATAATGCTGTAGTTTACATAATAGAATATCGTGATTAACTATATCAAACGCCTTTGAGAGATCTATAAATACTCCTATTCCAAAATCGTTATTTTTTACTGAAGATACAATTTTATCCTGTAAATCTATAAGAGCATGACAAGTCGAGTGGTTACTTCTAAATCCATATTGACTGTCTGTTAAGATGCTGTTAGCTATTAAGAATGAATACAAACGTTTATACATACATTTTTCCAGTATCTTTGAGAAGCATGGCAATATTGAAATAGGTCTATAGTTTTTGCAGAGATGAGAGTCATTTTTCTTATAAACTGGTACAATTTTAGCAATTTTAAGTTTGTCTGGTACATTACCTGTACTTATAGATAAATTGAATATATAACATAAAGGCTTTACAATCGAGTATATAATCTTTTTTACAATATTACTGTTGATGCCGTCAAAACCACAGGAGTTACTTTTCTTCAGCGATTTAGTAATTTCAAGAATTTCAGATTCAGTAATAGGCTTTAAAAATAACGATTTCGAAAGTGGATCATTTAAATATCCTTCAAATGTATCATTTCGTGCAACAACCTGAGAAGAAGTTAAAATATTTGTGCAGCAATTAATAAAATATGAATTGAATTCATTAGCTATACATTGTGAGTCATCTATTCTTTTGTCGTTGCATAAAATATACTGAGGTGGATTACGTTTGGATTTACAAAGTAGTTTGTTTATGACGGACCAAGTACCCTTGATATCATGCTTGGTTCGATTCAATTTATCACAAAAATATTTCCTTTTCACTTTATGTAATATATTATTAACTTTATTCCTATATGTTTTATACTTTGCTTGATTTGAGGGTGAGCGATCATTAAGAAATTTCTTATACAACTTATTTTTTTTCTTGATATATCGTAAAAGTCCTGGTGTTATCCAAGGTTTACGTATACATGATTTCTTATTGTTACTAGTACATAGAGGTAGATTTCTGTCATATAAAACTAAAAGCTTACTTAAAAACAAGTCATAAGCAGTATTAACATTATTGCACGAATACAATGAAGACCAATCCACTTCGTACAGTTCTCTTTGTAATTTCTTTACACCATCATCTGTTACTGCACGTCTGAAATTAATTGTAGTATGCTGACTCTTTGTCAGCAAATTAGTTTTATCCAACACAAGAAAAATAGGTAAATGGTCTGTTAACTCAACAGAAAAACTGCCACTTTCCAGATTTCTTTCGAATGTATTAATAAAAATGTTATCAATGAGAGATGCAGTATTCATAGTAATACGAGTTGGATATTTGATGACAGGAGTAAGACCAAATGAAAAATTAATGTTTAGGAAATCGTTTGTATTTTCATCAGTTGATTTCAGTAAGTCTATATTAAAATCACCTGTCATAATAATTTCTCTTTTTTCAGTGCTAAGTTTTTCAAGCGTTTCAGAATAAAAATGTATGAATGATTTAATATCTGTGCTAGGCTTTCGATAAAAAACACCAACCGTCAGCCTATCTCTATCTTGTCTAAACAAATCTACACATAAATATTCACAAGTGGAATCACTTTCTACGGAGTGTGTAATTGATTCTCTTCTTTGAAAATTAATGTCATTTTTAATGAAAATACCAACACCTCCGCCTCTACCAGATTTTCTATCAACGTTGACAAACTTGTATCCATCTAAATGAAATGGAATTACTGGTAAACCACATATCCATGTTTCTGATATAGCTATAACTGAAAAACTGTTCTTTATGATAGATAGAAAATTAGAAATGTTCTCAAAATTTGTATGAAGGCTTCTGGCATTTAAGTGAATCATGCTGAATTCGGCACAAGACTGGAAATGTTCATTAAATTCAAAAGGGGTGTAGCTGTTACAAGCAAAATCTGGGTTATTGACATGCAGATCAGGATCAAGATCGTTAAGTGGGTTGTTCATACGAAAGTTCATTCTTACTTATAAGATTACACATTTTGATCGTAGCAATAAAGAAAGAAGAAGAGAGCGCAACTCTACAAAAATAAGTATTACAAACTATTCCGCACCTGAAGCATAGATGGAAATACATGTAAAAATACATGCAACATGCAAAAGAACGAATGTGGGAAGAATTGATATATTTATATTCTTTCATTATAGTCATAAAAGTCAAATTTATTATACGGAAATACAAAAACAACTTAACAAAACAGTTAAGCATAAACAAATACTACATTGATTGAAAATTCCAAGCAATGAATATATATATATAAATATATGTAAAACAGAATTATATACAAATAGTACAAATAAAAATAAGCGTTCACTTTGTCAAAGTTTGTTATCGAACGATAAAAAGGGAAGTTTTTCCCTCCAGAAGATTGTTTAGTTCAGATTTAACATTTCACTATTCATTTGGCAGAGATTTCAGGTCATCCTCGTTTCTGATGAGTTTTTTCTTATGGTCCTTACCACTCAGTAGAGCAATTATTCTCCCGTCATTGCTCCAAGCAGCTTCAACATGGGGATGTCCTTTTGCCATCGCTAGGAGCTTTTGATTTTTGGCAGTCAAGTCTTCTACTATTGCTCGCTTGCGACCTTTCAGTTTTCGTCGGTTGAGTATAATCTCCTGGCGCTTCCTGTATGACTTGAATTTCACGATGATACCGCGGTAGGTTTTGGTAGGTGCTGTTGGGTCTTCGATGGCGCCGGGAGCAGGCTCTGGAAGGGGTTCACCTGGCATACCAACTCTGTGGCTTCTTTCGATGTCATCGACTGTTAAGTTGACTTTGAGGATGTCATTGACCATTTTCATAACAATGCTGTCTGTGCTTTCACCCTTTCTCTCTGGGCAGCCAAAAAATCGTAAGCAATTACGGCGGGAATATTGTTCCTGTGCATTGATGTTCACACTGACTGCTTTTAGACGATCAGTATGCTCGTTAACCTTCTTTTTCAGGTCATCTATTTCCTTATCCTTGGCGGTATTTCTGGTCTGCAGATCCATTATATCAGCTTCTTGTATTTCAATTGTTTCCTGCAAGCGGCTGATCTTCTTGTCAATGGAATCTTGTACAAGTGACAAAAAGTTTTTGTTGTGCATTATGTCTTTGATGACCTCTTCTATGAGAACAGTGTTCTCCTTCATCGAAGTAGATCGGGCTCTTGTTGTAGTAGGAGGTTCGCCCATCATGCTGGACAATGGGAGTATATCTAAGGTAGATTTGAAAGTCTTACTATTACTATTGAGGCAGGACAATAGGATGAATGAAGAACTTTGTCTCTAAATCTGTAGACTGGAGTTCGCTGAACTACACCAACTGAACTACACGAATTGCTGACAAGATAAAATTGAAGTCTCAGGCTCACATCAAAATCAGTACATGGTACAGTACAGTTTAGGATGATATGAAGATCGAATCTTTGATATTTATATAACATACTGATTTCACTCCAAATGGTATCACATTTTGTTCCAAAGTCTTCCGGAGGGATGTATTCCAACAAATTTACACCATTTCACAAAATATCACATAGCAATGAAGAGAAATATGGTGAAAGATCAGAGAGAAAAATTGTAATGTGCTTCTCCAGTCTCTCTCTATCTAGGAAGACGATCTGATTAGATTTTGGAGTACGTAGGTCAAAGGTCACAGGTCACAGAGGTCAACTTATGAAATTCCTTGTATTGAGTTTGTTAGCGCGATATCTCAAGAACCATTTGAGATTTAAACTTCAAACTTAAGGATAGTATGTATCACCATAGGAAGACGATCTGATTAGATTTTGGAGCACGTATGTCAAAGGTCAAGGGTCACAGAGGTCAACTTATGAAATTCCATACATTGAGATTGTTATCATGATATCTCAAGAACCACTGGAGATTTAAACTTCAAACTTAGTGATAGTGTGTATCACTATAGGAAAACAATCTGATTAGATTTTGGAGCACGTAGGTCAAAGGTCAAGGGTCATAGAGGTCAACTTATGAAATTCCATACATTGAGATTGTTATCATTGATATCTCAAGAACCACTGGAGATTTAAACTTCAAACTTAATGATAGTGTGTATCACCATAGGAAGACAATCTGATTAGATTTTGGAGCACGTAGGTCAAAGGTCAAGGGTCACAGAGGTCAACTTATGAAATTCCATACATTGAGATCGTTATCGCGATATCTCAAGAACCACTGGAGAATTTTCACTTCAAACTTAATGATAGTATGTATCACCATATCATAATATCTCAAGAACCACTGGAGATTTAAACTTCAAACTTAATGATAGTGTGTATCACCATAGGAAGACAATCTGATTAGATTTTGGAGCACGTAGTTCAAAGGTCAAGGGTCATAGAGGTCAACTTATGAAATTCCATACATTGAGATTGTTATCATGATATCTCAAGAACCACTGGAGATTTAAACTTCAAACTTAATGATAGTGTGTATCACCATAGGAAGACAATCTGATTAGATTTTGGAGCACGTAGGTCAAAGGTCAAGGGTCACAGAGGTCAACTTATGAAATTCCATACATTGAGATCGTTATCGCGATATCTCAAGAACCACTGGAGAATTTTCACTTCAAACTTAATGATAGTATGTATCACCATATCATAATATCTCAAGAACCACTGGAGATTTAAACTTCAAACTTAATGATAGTGTGTATCACCATAGGAAGACAATCTGATTAGATTTTGGAGCACGTAGTTCAAAGGTCAAGGGTCACAGAGGTCAACTTATGAAATTCCATACATTGAGATTGTTATCATGATATCTCAAGAACCACTGGAGATTTAAACTCCAAACTTGTTTAAATTGCTCTATGGCGGAGGCATCATTTTCGACTGCGCGCAGTCAAAATTCCATCTAGTTTTCCTTTTTTTTTCCGCCCTCTTTTAGCTGATGTTTCTCAGTCTTTAATGCTTTAATACATGTGTTTCAGCGTCATCATTCCATTGATATCATTTTCACCTCATAATTATTCATGGTTTGCACAAGTGATTTATATCCCATCTAAACAAACAAAATACATATTTTTTTCAATCATTAATAAAAAAAATCTAAAAACGGTTTAAAAAAAAAAAAAAAAAAAAAATGCCAACCGTAGATTTTCAGATTTTGGGGTCGGTCACAAAGGGCAATACAACAAGTTTTTATTTTAGGCCTTATTGTTGTGATATGATATAGTTCATATAATTTCCTTCTCTTTTTTGTCAGAATACCAGAAGTTTATTCAGAAGAAATCCCATACTGTCCAGCAGTTTGACAAATCTGTTGTTTTGAAGGTATGTACATGTATTTTAAAGCCCAATGCCTATTCTACAATCCTACTGTGTTCCAAATTTCAACAACAAAAATTGCAGATACATTAGATGATTAGATATATAAATTTAGACAGTTATCTTAATTTTGATTGAGGTTCTGAATAGTGGTAGGACAACTACAAATTGACAATTTTAGGGCATGTGATTCTTCTAGTCAGAAAAAATGCAAAATCGGCTACAGATCATAGACAATCACAGAAGAGGTAGGAAGTCATTATGATTTGCAGATGATTTTGCCTTTACCCTCATTATGAGGTTTTATTATCTCTTTGACTCTACAAACATCAATCATCAAGAGTTTATATGTTTGACTGTGCAGAGTAAATGCCATTTCAAATTCTTTTAAAAATTGGATCACAGTCGAATAGTAGTGTGCAGTGGGCTTAAAGAATCAAATACATTATGCATCAACATCCCTCTTTGTAATTCATCATTTTTGTTGGGCTTGTCAGCTATTATTGATTTTTTTTTCTTCTCCAATATGTTTTCTATTCGGTTATATTTTTGTCTGAAAAGATATAAAACCAGATCTATAAATATTTTTAATGATTTTCCATCTTTCTGAGGAAGACAAAGATTGGAGAATTTTTTCATGTGTTAAGGCTTCTGGTATTACCATAAAAGTTGATGACAACAATTCAAATTATGCCTCCTTCTATGAAGAGATTAAGGGTAGGATTCTATGTCATGTCATGAAAATCAGTTATCAACAGCAATATTTTTTAATACCATCTCATATCAAATTTGCACGGCTTTAGTATTGCATTGTTACATTTCTTGTTTGTCATAACATGATAGGATAGTGTGCAAGTAAGAGAAGATTTCTCTGTTATTGTAGAACACGAGAACTTTTGTCTCAATCATGCAACTGGTGTACACATATAGAGCATTTGTTGTATTAAATGAATGCCTTAAACTTATGTTTCAACAATCAAAAGAAACAGCTTCCATATGCCATTGCTTAATTAATACTAAGAGTTACATGTCTTTATGTGTACTAGGTTCTCTTCAATCTCTTGTATAAAACAATGTACACTACTCCAAAAATTAAACCCAAGTCTTCTAGATGCTATCTTGATTAATGAAGATCGAAATTGATTAAATTTTTCTTTCATGTAGGTACCAAGACCCCGGGTGTGTTTGTAGTTAGTCTTTTCCCTCATAATAATCTAAAGGGTACATTTTGGATGATCTTTGTGAAAAAATGAATATTGAGTATTGGGAGCATGTAATCTCAGATATCAATTAGTCTCCCATGTAAGTCAAAAGAAAGTATCTTATCATCTGATATTTATTGCTTTGTTTTCAATTTTGCGTAGATGATGTATTATGTGTAAGGTGTTGTCAAGATGCATTTTCCTTTTCATTCCTGGTGATTTTTATGATCTAGACTTACCAAATTATTAATTGTTATGTTTTTTAATCACCTGGCTTTTCCTGATGGGTCCATATCCTGTGTGGTAATCTTAAAATGTTCAATTCTGGTACTGGTAAACCTAATATAGCCAAATCTAATGGTCTTGAAACCTCTCATTCATACATCTGTTTGCATCTTTATGCATTCACGTTAGAAGGTCGTTTTGATGTGATGTTGCATTTGTTTGTTTGTTGTAATTCTGTATTTCAGGCATTTGAGCATCTTGTTGCCTTGGAGCTGGTGAAGCCAGCAGAGCACAGCACGGCATCATCTACCAGGACTCAGAAGGAATACAGAGCGATGAGTATACTGGTCACCTCTTCACAGCTAGCAGAGTCTCTGAGCTCTTACCCATCTTGTCCAAGTGAGCTCCTACACTGGGCTAAGAATCCGATGGCTTCGTGAAAGTTTCGCAGAAAAGAGTGTCTGAAATCATTATACAAAAGCATTCGCCTTGTTTCTGTTGAAATCGGTGCCAGGAGGCTGATGTATCTTCACATCTAGAAAGTCCTTAAGCTCTTGTCTGTCTTGTCCAAGTATGCCCCTACACTGGGCTAAGAATCCAATGAGAGTTTCATGGAAAAGAGTATTTAAACTCCTTATGCCGTAGCATCTAGCTTGTTTCAAGTGAGCTGAACAAAATGGGGCAAAGACAATCTCAGGTATCTGGTTACTGTAAAGCCTGTTAAACCTGCTGAGTACAGCTAGCAGAATAAATGAACCCAAAACCATTTTGTTCCGGTGAGCTCCTACAAGTTGGCCAAGATCATTTCATCATTTCTGAACTCCTACAAAAGCATTCCACTTGTTTTCCTTGTGTCCCATTGAACTTCAAGATTGACACAAGAAAGCCTACCGGTAGGTGTCTAGAAGGCTTAGAGCTGATGAAGCCTGTAGAGCACAGCTAGCAGGGTCCTTGAACTCCATTCCGTCGTCCATAGAGAACATCAGTACTTTGTTGTTGTCGCAGTTCTCATTAAAATAGATGTGTGGAGGAGCTAATACCCTAAAACTTGTGGCATAAAGATGTAAGACTGGGCTATGTCTTGCTCCGTGGTGTTTATTTATGAATTTTCCAAGGTGAAGAAGGTACAAATAAACAGTTACCTGTGCTGTCATGAATGAACTATTCATTGATTTAAACCCAGTGTACTGGGTAATGAAATACTTTTGAATTGAATAAAATTTATTTTGGGAAGGACAGAATGTGAGTTTGATATCAAAATTATGTTTATTTATTTTTCTATATGTTTGTATACTTTTATACTATATAACATTTTTCAAGGAAGATAGTAAAAAAGACAGAGAAATAAATCACCTCTTTCTTTTTGCCAGGATGATTTAAAGAGAATAAAATTATTTGTTTATACATGGTGTCCACAAAAAATTCCATATGTATGAGAATTCCACTTGCAAAATCTCTGAAAGTATCAAATAACTTTAAATGAAAAGTAATAGGCTATGCTAGTAGAGTATCTTCTAGTCTTGGTGTGAATTTTTAATCATTTTCCACTAGTGTGAAGAAGAAGAAGAAAAAAAGAACTAGCGAGATATTAAGAAATGTTTTTGATTGATGTCTTTTTGGGGTGTAAACCTTGAATATTATAAATATTGCCAAGAGAGCATACCGTAATGAAAAGCTTCAGCATATACTAGATGTATAAACATTGCTTCAGCATTTCTAATGACAAAACATTCAGTTAAAGAGAAGGTTTAGTTCTGGTACAGGTGAACAAATAGTTTCGAGAACTTTCTAATTCATATATGTCAGTTTGGAAGCATATCACAAAAGAAATATCCCCTGAAAATGATTGCTCCTCTAATGACCTCATATTTAAAATATGTTTGCTCAAATGTTCATGCCACATATGTGTGTATGGTTTGTTTAAATGTTTTTTTTTTCTTCTTTCTTTTACCCGACTGCTATGAATGAAAGCATGTAGTCCTGTATACCCATTAATTGCTGTGTGTAGCATAGGTAACTTTGTGTAAGACCAATTCAAATTATACTTATATAGAACTTCTGATTATGTTATACATTTGTGGCATTATTCACACATTTTGATCAAGGCTATTGCAATTATTGAAGGTTGATTTTTCATAAGTCTTTAAGATCTTGCTTTATCTTTCCTGCTTTTGTTTTATTGTACAAGAATTTCTTATATTTGTATCAGAAGCATTCCTATACAAGAATTCCTCAATAAAATTGATATTTTTGTTACAAGAATATGTGCTGCGTTTATTTTTTCTTCTCTTTACGGTTAATGATGGATGATCTAGTTTGTGTGACATTAAATGGAGAGTGGATGTACTAAAATGATACATGTGTGAATGCTTATGAACGTAAGTAAAGCATTAAGTAAAGGCCTTAGACAACCTATGAAGAATGATGGTTGTTGAGAAAGACAAGATCTTAAAGGCATCGTTTACCAATGTTAAATCTGAGATGCATGGCCCTATGTATTATTAGTGTATGTGATATGAAGCCCTAAAAAAATTGCGCTTCAAAACGATCATGAAGTGCCTCAAGAAAAGAAAAATCTTTGAGCGAAAGTGAAAAGGCTTGCAAGGCTTGCATTGGTATAGAGTTATCAAGAATTCCATGCGTTCATCAATGCAACTGCATGGTCAAAGTATGTATGGAATAATGCTTATTCATGTATTTCTCCCTTTGGGCTTTTCTTTTCATGTATGCTGATAAATCCGCCTGACCTCTTGCAATCTGGTAAGAAAGAAAAGAGAATACAAGCACAAAGTACATGTAGATATATACAAAGGGAAAGTGAAGAAAAAGAAGTGGGTAGACGTCTAGGAAATAAATAAACTGTCAGAAATTTCAGTTTTCAAAGAAACCATATTCAATGCCTGTTTGTAACTAGACTGAAATGTTGACCTTTTTGCCTTGCATGAATACCTTTCACTCTGAATATGCAAATCACTGTTAAACCACCCTCGAATCTATTCTCTAAAGCAAAAAAAGCTTGGAAAGATTGAAGCAAATGTTTGTGTCTGTTTCTTAGTGACAAAATATTTCCCTGTTTTTTGTTTTTTTAATGTAAAAATACATGGAGACATGAATGGCCTTATTGTATAAATATCATTTCAAATAAAGGAAAAAGGGATTTAACACATACAAAACAATGTTTGGTTGCCATTGGTTAAACATAATACATTCCTAATTACATTAAACTGATTTCTGCATAACATAGCCAAAAAAAAGATTCTTGCATGTACCTGTATTAATTATAGTCCCGTCAATAAATTAGACCTGAAGATGAAAAGGGTTTTCTAAGCAAGGGTTGTACTATTGACTTTAATTCTTCAAGAAATAAAGTGTTTTACATTGTACCTGCATTTGCAAAGTGTGTTCATGACAAAATTGAAATTGACGATAATGAGTAATCGTCAAGGAATACAATATTATCTTTCCAAATGTGTAATCTGGATGTGCCTTGGTTTAAATGGAGTATTCCTATACTATGAAGAATGTTTACATAAGTAATTCAAGGAAACCCTGTTCATGGTATTTGTTTATCCTTTCTCCCACATACTTGCGCTCCAAAAATACCCCACGCTCTGTACCTCAAAACGAAGAAGAAAAAAAGGTGGAGAAAGGGGTTTATATTTCAACTGGAATTTCATAATCGTGCAGTTTGATTTGGGTTAGGCACACAGAGCTAGCTCTCTCACTTTCATACAGCTTACCCAGACAATCATTACCAGGAAAACTCCAAACTTTCTCCTTTGTGATGTCAGGTCAAGAACCTGAAAGGAATTGAAGCATTGCGAGGTCACATAATGAGCTCATTCAAAACACACCACACTCATAACTCTACACCCCCCCCCCCAACCATCCCTTCACAATCACATCATGTCACAATAGTTTGTTGCCCTTTATCTTTTTTTCCTTCTTCTTTCCAACTTGCTTTTATTGCTCTCAAATAAGCTCCTGAGCCACAGCAGCTTGTATTATCAAGAGGACATTTCATTGTTTGCCAGGAATAAAGCAGAATTAAACCCCAGAATCTTGTAGGCCTTTTGTCATGTAAATCGTGTGTTTTCTGAAGAAAGTAAACTACGTGTGGACAAAGAACTGTGTTTCTTACGTGTCTATATCCAAGCAGGCTCGCTTAATATGTCAAACCAGTGAATTAATGGTTGGTGTCAACTGCATTTTAAGTTTTCAGTGCATCCAAATAGTGCATTGAAGAAAAAGAGAATAAAATACATGTTTTGAAAAAGTTGCTATTTTCAACAAAGCAATTTCATCAGACCTTTGTATTGCTTGCGATGTTCAATTTCTGATAGAGAAGCTGAATTTTACTGTCAGGGACTGATTACAAAATTAGATTCATTTATAAGCATTTGCTTCTTCTCTCAAGTGCCTCGTAAAACTGTAACTGGTTATTCTAAATTGTGCATTTTGAAAACCTCACTTTTGACTTCAGGCAAACTTTGTGGTCATTAAACTCAACCATTGTGGAGGATAGATGAATTAAATGTGAATCAATTAACATTATGTATGTTTACTCACTCCATGGGAACAGCCATGATCAATTGAACAAAAGAACCATTTAAATGATTGTAAGATTATTGATATTTGTTATGATGTGAACAAAACATGAGAAGTGCATAGGCAAGAGCAAGAGAGAGAGAGAGAGAGAGAGAGAGAGAGAGAGAGAGAGAGAGAGAGGGGAGAGGTAAAGCGAGAAGGGGAGAGGTAGAGATAGAGGGAAATAGAGAGAGAGAGAAAGAGGGAAATATAGAGAAAAAGAGAGAATGTGTATGGGTGTGGAGATAGAGAGATAGTTTTGTTGAGTATGAAGAAAAGAGTAAGACAGAGAGGATTCAATTTCCTAGGGGATACAGACAGACAAAGTGCCAGATGACATAATCCGGAGCCTGGAAGCATTGTTTCTTGTAATGTAACACTTGTTTAATGAATTAAATGACATGACATGATACTTCCTTTAATCCTCACAGATTCTACAACATATGGCATCCTATACTCATCTACGATACAAACTAAACTAGTCCAATCATAACGACAGGAAGTAAAATTCTTGAGGTACAAATCAATCACATAGACACATAATCTTTAAAAAAGAAATCAAAATCCTAAGTCTAAATATACAATTCAACTTTGTCTTGCGTGAGAGCTGTGTTTTAAAAATATCTCCACAAAACATGAAGGAACACTAACAGGTCCTAAGCTCTTGATGGAGAATCATATGGTTAATCAAAAGTGCATTATGGTTATCAATCTATACAAATACCCCTTCTGTTGTTAATACAACAAATTATCAATTTCTACAGACAGGCATTACATACATGTAGTCAATAAAGCGTGTTTAAGCAGACATAAACTGCTCTCAATATTTTCAAGTTTTTTTTTGTTTCTCCTGAGGTAGTCTTGACAAGTCTTATTGTCGCAACAGCTTTGATTTCTATTAACATTAAACATCAACAATAACAAAGACAATGCAATGACTGGCGTAGGAAGGTTGCGTGTGCGTGTACAATCTACAGAATACAAAAAAGAGAGCAATTGTTACACACACTATTGACTATTCACTAACTTGGCAGCCCTCAAACGTTGTGTAAGAGCAGCCTGAAAGCCTGTTCAGAAAGAGGGTCGAAACAGATCAATGACTAATAAAAAACAATTACAATGTTAGGTGCTCATGAAATTGGGCATATAGTTGTGCAATACGTTAACATTTGGTCACAAGCCTCAAGTGCATATACATATACCTCTCGGTCCTAAGACAGTCCTAACACAAACATGGTAAATCAAACATGAAATTCAATTTCAAATTTCAATCAAGATTCTCTCCTGAAAGCTCCCATAGCTTGTTTTTAAATCATCAAAATGAAGTTAATACAATTAAGAATCACAGTCGTCACCATGACTTAATGAAGTATTAGTGCAAACATGATTGAAGGACAAACTTTTCCCAAGTACACCAATACAACGTTGAAGTCAGCCCAAATCAAACAAGTTACCCAGAGAAAGATGACATATTCTGGGAAATGGCGGCCCTGGCATAGAGATCTTTTAATTTTGATGAAATGGATACTGCACAGTTCTAATAATGGATTGCATTTTATTCTCAGTCTTTGGAAGCGGTTATTCGCAAAACACCACAAATTAACCACACTTTCCTCGGCTGAGAGTCAAGGATTTGATGTTTTCCTAGAATCCTCAAATGTATCATTTAACCAGGGGCAACAGGCATGTTCATCAAATTGAAATAATACCTATTATTTTGCGACTGTAAAGTGCAATTCACAAAGGGCTGCATGATTTGATTAATGTTTTTATGTTCCTTTTCCTCCGAAGACAAAAACATTACATTTATAATTAAGTGATGAAAAAAAAAAAAACATAATTAGAACAAAATTGATAAGAGGAGATTCAGACAAGGTATTGAAGCAGACTTATCGTGCTAGACATTAAAGCTTGGTGTCTATGCAGATAGGCTGTGATCACATGAGGAATATAAAGCATGCAGTATACTGTAATTCATCGAGTCACGATTATCACCTATTACATGTATAATTAGCAGTATAGCATGTTCCTATGGTGTAACCTGCCTGCCAACAAAGTGCATTCTATCTTGAGGTAGTATTTGATGCTTCATTATTTGATTTTCGTCTTGAGAGTGTCTGTACATCCTTTGTACATTCTCTTACAAGCTACGATGGTACATGTTGCATAAACATACATATTTACACACACAAAACAGATGACATATACAGCGTGATCAATAGGGGTCTTTTCTAAACATACAATCTATAATAGCAGTGACCTCTGATTGGCTTTGAATATTTAAGATAATTTAAATAAAACAGACATCATGTAAAGTCAAGAGGGGCAGTAAAATCTTCTTTTACTTTGCTGGTAAAGGGCAAGTTGATGTCTCTCACATACATATTCATATCATGTCAATAAATATCAGGAATAATAAATACACAGATTAAATGGAATTGTGCCATGATACATTACACTGCAGGCTTGCAAATTCATATCATAAATAAACTACCTTCCAAGTCTGAAGTATTTTTCAAATTCGGTGAAGAAAATAAACTTAACTCCTTGTACTCCACACATTTCATCCATCCCCCCCCCCCCCCTGCCCCACAATAACAAAAGTTATAGGGATATTGTACAAATGTATACCATCATGCTCCCATATTCTTCCCCTTTGCAGGCTTTATCAAATATATTAGTAATAACATTGATTTGGCTTCCAAAAACAGTTTACTTGCACCTGTAAGTTTACCTAAGAGACCTTGAATATTAAACCTATACATAAGATGATGAACATGCTACCCTGTACAATCTACCCTTAAGTTACCTCCTAATACATGTCAGTTCAAGTGATAGATTGGCACATGTCTCTGCTAAACATTAACTTTCAGGAACATGCTCCATCGGAAGTGAATACATAATAAACATTGTGTAGCTTTAATGTCAGAAGGGCATTAACCCTATGCAGTAGAATTGTATGGGTCAATGCCATTCTAGCTCATGGTAAATGACTAAAGAGGCTCCTAAAAGATGTAAGTATGAAATGCTATTGAAGATTGGAAAAGTGATTACAATGATTAAACTTGAGCATTCCTATATGTTCTTTGTTTGAAGAAAAAAATGCATGTACTTGCACTTTGACGGACTGGTTGCTTTCCATTAAATACAAGCTTACCTTGAGGTTAATAACCTCCCTGTCCAAAACAGTACGTTAGGCAGCCATATTGAAGAGTGTTAGAATAAATATGCACCTGCTGCTGAGATGAATGCAGTTGCGTGTTACTTTTGTCCGTTTCATTTTATTGACCTGCACCACATACATGTACTTCCATACTGCATCATTTCTTTCCCCAACAGAAGTTTACATTTTCCGCTTCATTTTCACGCCATGCTTGGCACTTTGAAAAAGCAAGGTGTGGTCAACAATGGAAACAATGCGTGTGCAATGTGCAGCATAACTTAATTTGAAAAGTGTGCGTAGGACTGCTGCTGGCATAAAGTCGTTGGTCTTTTCTTTTACTTATTGACACCGATGTAAGTTATTGACATGCCAAAGTGAGGTAGGAAAAAGAAGACAGATCGTGGGAAATTTTGAAGTGGTGGTCCCATGATGTTTATAAAGTCTTCAGAGAGTTGGTCTCCTGAGCTTAAAGTTGACTGACTGATCAGGACAGCTTATTTCCATCCTTTCTTCTTTAACTTGAAATAACTGTCTCTGACAAAATACTAAGTTTACATGATACAAAATGAATGCCCATGAGAATTTGCGATTCATCTTTATCTTCATCACCTAGACACACATTTTAACCAGTAACACTGTCAATCATAGACAATATTGCATGATATTAAAAAAGAAATTATACAAATTGGGTATTGTCACTATACAGACCGGATGTACATGTACAGTGTACACAGCCAGCACTATGGTATAAACTTGTAAGACATCACAGCATTATTAGATGCAATTGTATAGAATATTCACAGATCGCTATATCCAATAATACATGGATAAAAAAGAAATTCATAATAATGACATCTACATGTACGTGCGATTTCCTAGTCTTTGAGCTTTTAAACTGAAAGGTAAATGGCAAAAGTAATGAACGTTAAAATGACATGGTAACATGCTGGTCTAAATTTGCAAATATTCAGCCTATTATTTGTTTTCTTGTAAATTGAGCAATTCAAGTGATAAACTGGTCTAGGTACAGCAGATGGTGAGAAAATAAGGAATGAAAAGTAAGTTATGAATAGCTTGTCACAATTTTCTAGTAATGGCTTCAACAAAAAACACTTGGGAGGTAGGGCAGATGAAGGGTAGATATAGACAGAGAGAGAGAGAAAGAGAGAGAGAGAGGGAGGGGGAGAGAGGGGGGGGGGTTGCAGAACAGGTCTTCATTAAGAGGTTTCTTTATATAATCTATATTCCCTTCTTCTAACAGATGAAAGATAACTGATTTTACTCCAAATGGTATGGTATGTTCATAAGTCCACGATTGTTCTTTGGATATGAGTACGCTTACGAGCATTTGTTATGCCCAGCTTATTTTATTTACACTAAAATGTTTTTATTTTGAAGCTATGTTTTGGGAGGTTTACTGCCTCACGTGTGAACAAAGCTGAAGTATTTACCATTTAGATTTTCCTCCCAATCACACAAAGTTTATAAGTCTATGCTTTGGTCATAATACTGCCAAGGTAGGTTAAGAGCTACAGCGTCATAGACTAACTACACAATATCGGGTGTTGAGAGCCAGAAGGATGTTAGCTCTAAGTATAAAGATAGGAGCTAACATCCTTCTGACTCTCAGCAGACAATATTAGCATCTTCCTGAGAAGCAACTACAGCGGAGAAACATCTACCGCATAAATAAGATGAAAATCAGCAAGATTTGAATGCGATGCTGATATATGATGATAAAAACAAATGTACAAATATCTGATCAGCTAGATGAACTAATTAATATATATAACTCTAAGACGGCAGTTTCAGTGACTAGAGTTGACACTGTGAGAGACACATATACAGAACATACATGCTACATGTAGAGAGAACATGAAACAGGATATAAACAAGGTGTGTACGATACATGCATAAATAAAGTTGAGCATCTATTGCTGCCAACACATGACAGATGTGTTGGTTTGTGTCATTTTGTCTGGCTACAACTCACAATCACACACACAAACAAAATGATCAAATAGCAGCTGTGTAACTCCTGCAGTCGACGAGGGACATCTTGATTAAATTAAACACGTTAAGATTCAGATCCTGCTGTTTTATTGCATTGCTAGCAGATACTACTCATACATCCCCAGTAAAACAAGTTCTATCAGCCCCCCCCCCCCCCCCCCCAATAGTAACAATTGCCCCTTCCATTGCGTTTGATTTTCTTATGTACCCAGTAACACCGACTACAACATTTAGGAGGTAAAGAAATCATGTCTAATGCCATGCTTTTTCATTGGAACCCATGGGTGTCATGGCTTAGGCAATGTGTGAAATGCCTGGATAGTGGACCATAGATTCACCCTTCACATGAAATCCATTACTTCTTTTCAGTTGAAAGACGATCGCTAAATTCGCTACATATCTTTACTAAATAACACATTTAACTCCAGCAAACAGTTTGGTAAAGTTACGTGGCAGCATATCAAATATATGGATAAGTAAACACAAATGGCATTGTAAAGTCTTTCTAAAGTGACGGGGTAAGACTCATCCGTGGCAATAACTTATTTAAAGTATATTTACTGTTTGCATTATTCTGGTCCCTTCTGGAGTTAGCATGTGCATGATAAAACAGCGAAACCTCATCTGTGGTATACCTCACAATAACATCTTCATTCAGTGCAGGGGATAACACCATCAACTTTGTCACCATATCCAGCTCATGCCAAGTTTCTCTTGGCATTCTGTAACCTGTAAATAATTGAGCCTGTAAATAATCAAGCCGGTTTACAAAGACTCTTTCCAAAACTTTGAGAGACGATGTCCTAGACAATGTCATTTTGTGCGTACAAACTCAAAACATTTTAATTAAATGTAATTGAAACCCCCGCCCCATTTCTTACTCTCTGTCACAAGGGTCAAGGGTCAGAAATAGTTAACTCTCTTTTCCTACACAGTTTTCTCTATCTAATATCTCTACTTTGGCAGCATAAGGTATCATCTACAAATCTTGTCATATAGGAGGCTCCTCCATTCATCTACACACCTTATAATCTCTTTCCGATGCAGCATTTATAACCCATTCAACCTTCTATCCTGGTCTTACTTCAATCTAGATGTTGTATCCTTACTAACTCACATAAACCTCAAAGCTGGCGGAAAAAATTGAATCCTGAGGAACACAAATTATTTTACTGTATTTTTTATCTTAATCACACAAACTATTAACTGCAATGTCTACACACAAAAAATAAGTCTAACCATTGCTTTTCTTAACAGCAGAAAAGATCTATGTACAATTAAAAGGGTGGTTAAAAAATGAACAGAACATATAATCTCATGCAGCAAAGACATTGACGTAGGAGTTCGGCAACAAACGTAAAAAGCTTGCTTTTAGAATACACCATGTATGCAGTGTGACTTGGCAGAGTTCTTCCTTCAGGGTTATGGGTCACACTGATGTCAAAGCACAGTAATTCACAGACTGCCTATTTGTCTGCAAAGTCCTCACCATGTATGTCCTCTCAGACGGTGCACTATTTACAAACATTTGGAAAGCATCAATAACCATCCACATAATATAAATCACTCTCAGTTCATTCTAGAAAGGTGATGAGTTATGTCATTGTTCTTCTTTTTTCCAGTTGTCATCAAAAATATCTCCTCGGCGCAGAACTCTTTTTCGTTACCTTCAAGGATTTTCAAAGGACAGCCCATCCACAGGTAGAAGCAAAGCGCATGGATGCTCCGCAATTTTATCAAAGAGTTGAATGCACTTTCACCTGATGACATCGCTCACACACTGTCAACACATTTCAGAAATCACTTCTTGACCATGGGCTGGGATCTTTGACTGGCGGGACACGTTGAGAGCATTCCAGGTGCAGTAGGCCATCTCTCCTCCAAGTTTCCCACCATCTCCTTGTCTCCTTCATATTTCTTGGCGTCTTCAAGTTACAGCTTCAACCGCTGTATCCCAGTTGGCATTCAGCTTTGAGTTGTCCTAGATTGTTCTCACATGGCAACACAACACTCCCGCTGCATGATCACCCTGCGGGTAACATATCCAGTGTCTTCTAACACTCACACACAACGGCAGCGTCTGCATCGGCCACATGCCTACAACCCCTATAAGTTGGACTCCTTGGGAGGCGGAGACGGGGAATTCCTGTATAAAGCAATGTCTGTGCTCTCCGTGTTACCAGTGTTCTCAAAGCTTGTGCTATTGTGCATGGTCTGCATGATGAGAGGCGTTGGCGATACCGGATGGTGGCCATTCATGTGGCCATTCATGTGGCTGTGACTGAACTGTGCTATCCGCTCCTCTACACATCCTGCCGAGAGACGAGCTTCAGCATCCTGGTCCCAACACTCCTCAATCGTCTCACATAGTAACTCAAGACCCTACAACAACAAAAAGGAAGGGTGGAGATGTCAACAGTTGGTTCTTCTTCATGTCTATGACAATTGGATTTAGTATTTACAAGGTGCATTCTTGAAACCAGTCTATCAAAGCCACATGAAGGAAATGGACAAAGGTTTTCACTCTAGACAGATGGCCTTTCTAAACATGTTTTATGGCACAGAAATACATATGTGTCATTACTAAAGACAGGTGGCTTTAATAGTATAGTAAGGTGGCCACTAAGGCAGGTTTTCCTGTATTTCTGAATTAGTCTTACCAATGAAAGGGAAAAGTTGCTGAGACAGAAAGAATTACCTCCAGGTTGGATGCAAACAAAGAGAAGAGAAAGATAAAAAGGTACGGTATAATTAAAAGATGATCAAAAGTGAAAAGGGACAAGAAAGGTAGGTCATAGCATACCCTGTGCTTGAGCCAATGGTCACTGATGACAGGTCGTTTCCTCTTGACCACTACCCATTCCTGCATGTCCTCTAGTGATGTGCCTTGCCCAAGCTCTTCCTCAAAGGGCAATCTATACTCTGGAACTGGCCCTGAAACACATCACAAATAATACAAACATTGAACTTATCAACACCTCCTCTAAAACATTTCTTTCTTTAAAATATCACTTAGAATTTAGGATTCTCTCTTCGAACTCCAATATACTTTAATATTCAAAACTGAACAGCAGACTCACCTATTAAAAATGCTTATGGCTATTTTCTTTGATCATTGCTTTGTGCATCATATGCATATTTATCCCACTGACTTCATACAATGTAATGTACATTTTTTTTCATGTTATAGCTATTAACAATTTTGACTTATAATTTGGTTGGTGCATTATTCATCTCTAGAAGTGTACAATAATATGTGTTCCTAATACATGGAAATTATATTATTTCTATTGTAACACATGCAATATTATTGCAGAATCAATCATGACTTAATTGCCATAAAAGCCTTGAATTTCGTGAACAGACTTGCGGCGCTTGTGAGTGAAACAAAATCTAATTCATCCACCACACATTGGCCTTTCTGCATATAATATTTCCAAAGTCATATCCTTTACTGATATAGCTGAAAACTTAGAACAATCAAAACAAAATTATCTTTCAAAGCTTCCTGATTTCATGTTAAATATAATGTTGAAACATTTATGAATAGAAGGGAACCTGTCCCTCCCCCTTTTCTCTCTCTCTCTTGTTCTCTAAGAGGAAGTGGCTTACCATCTTGTACTGTGCATCTTGTTACAAGCTCCCACAGTACCAAGCCAAAGGCATACATGTCGATACGCAGAAAAGCATCTCGTTTGAACTGAATGGCTCCCTCTAGTACCTCTGGAGCCATGTAGCGTCTCGTTCCAACCTGTTCAGAGCAACAACAAAACACACCATAGATGAGACAATATCTACAAATGTATTTTTGTAACAGATCAGAGTAGTAGCAAGTTTATGCAAGATGAAAAATGAGCAGAATTGTTGGAGCTCATGTTCAATGATATTTGTTATCATCGTGTCAAGTTGTGATTGTTACAGCTAAAATACTTCCCTCACAAATATAACATGCCTTCTTAAAATGTAAATTTCTGGTATCCAACATCTGACTACATCTAGAAAGTCCATACATCTTGATTATTATCCTGATATGTTGTGATGTCGTATTTCATTACATCTTAATACATATCAACAAATTGAAATTTTACAAATATAAACAAAAACTTTGTATTTGTGCTCTTCTGCCAAGTACAGTACCTAACAGTATCTGGTTGCAGTTTATATAAAAGAAGATGGATGTCCATTACTTCAGAAGAGTTTTTTTCTAGTTGTACTTATTTCTCACCTGTCCATGAGTGTCTCCTGGATTCTTGCCAGCCTCAAACACACAGGCCAAGCCAAAGTCTGCAATGCAAGCTGTGGTGTTGTTCTTTATCAGCACATTCTTACTCTTGAAGTCCCTGTGAGCTACTGAATGCTTGACAAATGGTATAGCGGTGGTAGGTGGGATATCCTCGTGCAGGTAAGCCAAGCCCTTGGCCATGGAGAAAGCGATACCACACAGCTCCTTCCAGCTGATAACATTGGCTTTGAGGTAGTCACACAGAGATCCATGATGGTGGAACTCTGAGATGAGCCAGTACTCCACCTCCAATCCCTCTCCATGTTTCTCGGTCGCGATGAAATGGAGGAGGTTCTCATGGTGCATGTGAGGGAGGCTGTAGATCTCACGTTCGTTGGCCCAGGAGTTGCGATCCTGTATAGGGAACACCTTGACAGCCACGATGTCGTTGAGACAAGAGGCCTTCCAGACAGCACCGAAGCGGCCCCTGGCTTTGATCTCCAGGAGCTGGATGGGAGGTAGGCTGTTCATGGGTGATGGAGTTGGCTCCGTGGTCGGGATGGCAATCAGGGAATGGTAGCGGTGTCGTCTACACATCCAGTAAAGCATGATGATCACCAGAGCGATGGCAACGATCGGCACGATGGAATACAGGATGGTTTTGGTCAGCATCTCGTTCTTCTTCTTCTTCTCGTCTATATTGGATCCTGTCAATACAATCCCATATCATTCAACATTAAAATAGGCACATAAACAGCCTTCTCGCTTATTGATGTTAATAACATAGTAATTATTTATCAGGATCTATATTTATGGTGTAATCATAATTCTGTTAGGAAAAAATATTGCAGTAAAAAAAACAACTATATACCATGTTGGCAATTTGAAGGGATAAAAGTTGATTTGATCGGTTCTTTAGAAAACAATAAAGGCTATGGGTTAGCAATGAAGTACAATACTGACCTGTGACTGTTGTTTGTGTAACAGTGGGGGTAGGTTCTGGGGTTGGGAGGAAAGAAAAGTTCATGTTGCACAGGTTCCCCACACAGCAGCAGAAGAAGAGGTTTTGGTCAGCAGGACTAGAGCTCATACAGTAGTCCATGTCAAGACAGTCACCCTGATTCTGCCAGCAGCCTCGCATCATCACCTGCAGAGGAAAGATAAATAGGGACAGAGATGAGAATGGTATAGTGGAGAAGCGGGGAAAAACAGACACAAATCAGAATACGTTGCCCCTTAGACTTTTGAAAAGTAGCTGCAAATTGTTTTTAAAAGTATGAACTGTTATTATATTAATGGATGAAATCTGAACACAGTTTGATTTAACAGCAGCCCTCACAAATAAAAATAACATGTTTAATGTGGAAATGGGGGAAATGGGGGAGAAGAAGATAGAAAAATACAGTTGAAGGGAAAGAAAGGTTAGAAAAGAAAATAACATGGCAGAGATACAGAAAGACTGATACCCCTTTCAAACTGGCCTGATTTTCATCGGATGCATCCGGACGCATCCGATAAAACAGCCACTTTGAATGCTACAGAGGAGAAAAAGCTGATTAAATAGCCGATGAAAAGAAGAGAAATAGGCGACTAAATTCTCCTGCTCAAGAGCAGGAGAAATTCTCATTCTATCGGTGTGACACCGATGAAACAGCCACTGTGAATGCGTTCGGGAGAAAACAGCGATTAAATTGGTCTAATGTCGCAGTGTATGCGCGCTTTATCGTAATCAACTGTGTTTGTTAGCTTTTAGTTGAACATGCTGCATGCCAGCTAGATGGGGCGCGGGCTTAATAATTACATAATAATTCTTCACTTCCGGCAAGGGGTCGCCACAGCAAGTGAATTTCACCGGCGGTATGAAAGCTACAGCAGGGAAAACGGCGGTTTCACCTTTGTTTACATAAGGAAAATTCAATTGGTATTTTCATCGGTGTGACTGCGATAGAAACCAGTTTGAAAGCAGTATGAGAGACAAACGTTAACGAACAGAAATTGCTCTTCACAAGTCTAAAACCTGTATCAAGCTTACCTGATACAGCGGCGACTAATGTATGCAACTGGAATTCTATCCTCATACATGTACGGTATGTGCTATTATGCAAAATATGTGAGTTACATGTCTCATTCATCATAATGAGTTTGGGGGAAATACAATGAATAAATTCAATTTTCTTCTATTCTTCATAAATCAAAGGCTTTCACTCACCATGAAAACCTATACAGAACTGGACTGTATGTGAAAACCTGAACATGTGAACTTTAGAATGCATGTGTTTGTGTGGTATAAAGAGCTAAGAATTAATTGACGTGACACCAATAAGTTGGGGGTGGCGTAAAGAAGACATGGCTGCAAATGATTTGAAAGGACTGTTTGTCATTCATCCAAAGAGAAGGCAAAATAAAGAATCAGGGTTGTGTTACCACACTTGCTGTAGTAATAACACAATAGGAGCAAAAGATAACCCACAGATGAACCTCAAGAAGAGCAAGTTCACAGAGATGATGAGGTACCAAATTAAGACAAGCATCTCTTATCGCACGGAGACCTGACAAGGAGAAACAATGGTACCCCTTGGATGACTCTATCCTGCCTGTACAACACAAGAGAGGTGAAGCAGCTCAATGGATTATAACCAGGAGGCTGTGATTCATGCAGTAAGATTAAATGAAGAAGCTGTGGGTGTATCATGACTTAACAGCATCTAAGAGCACACATGGAGTATCTCTTTAAATAGCTTATGTTCCATGGCAGACCATGTCATCTTGCTTCAAATGTACCTTATTTAAAATAGATGGCCCTGAGTGATTTCTCAAGTTTCTTACAGAAGAGAAAAATAATTAAAGATTGGTTCCTGGAAATAGCAATTTCAGTTATGTATGAAGGTCTTTAATAGCTGAGCAACATTCCTCCATAAGCATTCGTATCAGCATAAGCAATACTGCAGTTCAAATTGTTCCATTCATACATGTACAATCCAACTCCAGTATTGCTTCACACAATCAAATATCAAAAATATGACAAATTCGTCACAGTGATTACTGTTTGTATCATGCTTACTACTTCACAGCAAAAGCTAAAAATTAGATATTTTGCTGACATTGTTCATATCTGCCACAAATACTGCTTAAATATTTGTTTACAAATAATTTTAAACATCACATTTTTAATTTGTTAATTGTACTAAGTAGCACACCTGTAAAATACAAATAAATGTTATTGATGATATGAGCTGAGCTACATGTATCTAGAGAGTAAAGGAGAGAAAGTATCCTTGAAACATTTTTAGGATACATGAGTAAGACGACTGCACAGCAGATGAGCGGCCACAGAAGAGGCAACTGCCAGGGAGAGTAAGAGAGGGTATGAATGAAAGGGAAAGGGAAAGGGATTTTGGTAAGGGAACGGGAAAGAATAAATAAAGAACTGAAAAGGAATAGGAGTCAAAACAGTGCTCCAGAATATACATGTACTCCATCAACAATTACTCCAGGCTTTTTACTTCATAAAATATAGATAGATGGTTGGTTCGTACGAACAATATAATTTCGTACGAATTTCCGTTTTTCCATCGACTTCCTGAATTTCCATTGTCTGAAAATCGTTTGTACGGCGTTCGTAGCAGTTCGTAATGGCATTTGTGACCGAGGCTTTAGGAAAAGAGTTAGTGTTAGTTTTGAGCATAGTGTTTGGTCTATGATTTGAGGTAAGAATTTGGTGAGTTTGGGACAAGCCTTCTGGCCGCCTGATAGTTTCAAGCCCTCGTGTAGGATATTGATCATGTGGCAATTGTTGCAGGAGCACGTGTCATACAAGTACAACCATCAAACAACACAAAATCTACCTCCAGCCCAGTACAGGTTTTCACTCACATCTACACCACCTCCAGAGGAAGTCTCGTTTTTCCAGAGGACGTAGCAGGATGGTATCTCAGCTTCCTTGTTGTCACACTCTTCGGTGGTGTTGCCACACTTGGTGCCATCTTTCTCACACTCCTGGCTGCTGTACAGGTGGCAGTGGGTACTACCCAGAGGCAGGTTCACACTGGCCCCTTCAACAAGGAGAACTGTAGGACAAATCACAAAGAAAAGGAGAAGGGGTTACTTAATGCAAAAATGAACATGAGCGGTGAGAGGTTTAGCTTTGAATAGCTTTAGAATAGCTCCAGATAACAAGACAAGAGCACTGGTTAAATAAAAGAAATCAATAAAGTCACAACAAATCACTGAGCACTATCAAATGTTCAGAATTCAGAAATGTGAAGGGCATTACACTTTACGTCATTATTTTTAAAAGTGCCACAGTCTTGCAGTGTCCTAGATCTGAACAAGCCTTTACGATGGGCCTAACATACAAGTGCATTGTTTAATTCTCTCTTTATGGATAGTTATTAATTATTACATCCTTTCAATGGCAAATCATGTAAAATGTGGGATGGACCCAAAGTATTGTGAGTGAAGCAAGGACATAATACATTTGGCTCAATGTCAGAGTCAGGGACATATGAGATGCTACAAATAAAAAAGATCAAGATTTTTTCCTCGTTCGTGTAAAATATATTAGGACCTCAAGTCATGTTTCTAATAGGGACTCTAAGGGTGGATGAAGAATTACTTTTAGGGGAAAATTTCACAAACTTCACATTACTTATAGTGTCAAGAGACATTAGTATTTCCAGATAGAAATAGCGCTATTTCTAATGTAAATTGGGAGAGGGCGTCTGAGAGCCCAAATGTTTACAGAATAAAGTATGTGTACACATTGAAAGGAATAAAATCTCCTTTTTTTTCATAAAAAAGCTTTAACAATTTCCCTCCATACCGGACCAGGATGTAATGTGTCAATGAATACACGTATACATGAGGGAATTTAGGGTGCTACAGCGTATGAGAAAAAGACATACACTAATGTAAATTGGGAGAGGGCGTCTGAGAGCCCAAATGTTTACAGAATAAAGTATGTGTACTAAGGCTGTGCATAAGTGCGTATTTTGGTAGTTGTGTACATGTACATATCCGGACATACGGTCAGACATCCACATGTACTTGTACACGGTCATGTTTTGTATCATCACACCCTTTCAATCACCCTTCATTGTAACCTATGTCATCATGTATTTTATCGTCTGCTATATGTTCAGAAGGGAGCTGCCCTTACGTATCAAATACAGGGACCCTGTACAAAGTTATGATGTACAGTAAATCTCTGTGTACTGTATAAGGCGCACTTTTTTGCCGCCAAAAAGAATGTCTCCCAGCTCAGTTATCAGTGTGTTGACTCACCACTCTGAAACTAGATCAACACTAAAATTGTCTGTCGTCTTGGTTTGAAAGTAATCTTTCTAATAGATCTCAATATGTAGTTTATAATAATAATTCCTCAAATTTTTTTCTTTAACAAATGGTGTACCACAAGGTTCTATCCTAGGACCTACACTGTAGGTACTCTATTGTTTTTAATTTACATTAATGATCTTACACATTCTTCTAAAAACAACATTGTTACTATTATTTGTGAAAAGTTTACGAGCACAAATCAGCGCCTTTAACTGCACCTCGATGTTAAATGAAGGTCCTTCCCCGCGTGGGTTTTCGGCAACAAAACAACAAAACAAACATTCCCCACCCCCCTCCCCAAAATAGGGGTGCGCCTTATACACAGAGATTTACGGTAGTTGCGCTGTACTGTGTGCGCTATATATAGCTCCAGCTCTGCAGCTGGAATGCATCAATTCGTAGTAGGTCCATGCATGCATGCACTCTCTCTACACTGAGGCGCGCATGCTCGCGGGAAACATGCACAGGTTGTATACACAGCTAGTACATGCGCGCGCTGCAGTACTTGCGATCTACACCATTTCTCTGGCTTGTCATTGGCTTGCGTTTGCCCTTGCAACTTTTGCGTACCCCTATCTAGTGTTGACCTCGAGCTGAAGTAGGGGAAGAAGCACATCGCTATCAAGATTTTAAGTTGTTAAAATTATTTTAAGAAAGCTTAGTGTGTCTTGCTTCAACTTCAAGTATGTTTGTAAACTTTGTACATGTACATGTAGGTAAAGACTAATATTCATATCCCTTTTCTCATTCACAAGTCACTGTGTGTACTTGAGGTAAAGTGAAATAGCACACATGTAGTTGTCGTACGGACGAGTACCATACATGAAACATCCGTGTACACATCGCAGCCTGAATGTGTACACATTGAAAGGAATGAAATCTCCCCCTTTTTTTTCAAACAAAAACTGAAGTAATTCCCCTTTAAACCTGACAAGAATATACATGTAAATAATACATGTACATGCATGTCAGTGAATACATTTATGCATACATATATATGAGGGAATTTAGTGTATGGGAAAAAAAAATCATACATTTGTACACCAATTACATTTGTACACTAATTACATTTGTGCAGTCCAAAGCAAGGACATTGAGTGAAATCTTCACCACAACACTTTTCATTTCCTGGAATTTTAATTTCTAGCCTCTTTCATCCCGGATGAGTAATGAAAAGGGCTTCCCTGCCAGAATGCTGTATCTGCCTACATGTATATCTCTAGGTACACAGTAGATGTGTGAGGCTACAAATATGGAGACCTACTCACATCAAATGAGTTCAAAATGTAGGACTTTGTGTGAACTCACTAATGCACATGTATATGTACATGTAGGATTACCGGAATACTGAAGATCATGATTTACATGTACATAAAGCCAGTACAATGAAATGTTTAAATTTCCATACGTGCCTATTGTAAATTTGCATCCTTTGACAATAATATTTATCATGCTTCTCAATATACATGTTTTAGTCCTTATAGATATTTTTCAATGAATGTTTTGTTTCGTTTTGTGTTCAAGTGATTTTTTTTCAAATTCAGGTATAGAACATGTACATTGTACATGCTCTTAGAGGTCAAAATAACTTGTGTGTATGAATTGAAGAGAAGCATACTTGAAGGTACATGTGTAAGTCCACTGGTTGCTTATTTATAAACATTCACATATTTACTTTTTATATATACGCAAGTCAGGTAAAAATAGGTACATGTACAGGCCTTAAATACATGCATGTATTTAAGAAGGCCACTACATAACCAAGGCATATATATGTGTAAGCATACATGTTACCTTGTAAAAAAAACTCTGAACAAATTATGTATAACTTAATATTCAATTTTACTCTTTGGTTACAAGACTCTAATTGTTCTAAATTGTTTATGTGTTTGTTTGATTAACCCGACTGTTAAAAAAGCATGTGTATGCTTGTAAGTACCGTATTTGCCGGCGATAAGGCCGCAGCGCCGTATAGGCCGCACCCCCGATTTTGACATTTAAAAAAAAAAAAAAAAAAAAAAAAAAAATCTTTTGCCAAAGTCGGGATTCGATCTCTTGCGTACAAATGTTGATGTGACTAAAATCACCACCTTAAAGAGAAGGTTGAGTTGTGGGAAGAGGTGAAAAATAATTTGTGAGCATTACTCATTCTTATTATGCAAGTGTGGAAGAACATCAGTTAAGACATGTTCCCTGAAAAGCATGGCTCTTCAAATGCCTTCATATACTAAATATGCATGTAACATCGTAAAAATCGGGGGGCGGTTTTTTACGCCACGTGTTCGTGTAGTCCCATATACATCTTTCTGTGCAAGTGTTTGTAACTTTACCAAGACTTGGCCAAATTTCTTATCATTTTGATGATTCCAGAATCTTGCAATACACACAAATTCTTATATGCTAGATGATCAACCTTTTCTGGTCGGTTCCACACCGTTTCTTTCACAATGCAATCGCATGACCAGAACTCAACTTCATCTTTAAACCGCGCGGCCATCCCGCGCTGATACCATACACTGCTGTTTTCTGTGATGTAGTCATTGAAATGGATTGAAAATGAAGACTTCGCGTGCTGGATGCTTCGCAGCGGCTCCATTAAACGGGCACTTCTTTTACTTTTGCAATGCATTGGCACAAACTTAGATCAAAATCTATCGGCAGATGTTGTTTTTGGAAGTTTATTTTCGTCTTCATGTCAACAATGCAAGATAAAATTGTTGGTAAGATGTGTGGAAATGTATAGTTATTGTACCGTTCGTAGATCTAGTCCCATATGTACAAATTCGTGCTGGTTTTGACTTTTTTTTTTTTTCTTTTCTGTTTCACCGTAAAGGCCGCACCCCGACTTTTTGATATTTTCTCTTCCAAAAATACTGCAGCCTTTACGCCGGCAAATACGGTAAGCTACATGTACCAGGGGACCAACGGCTTTGAGTTGTCTCTGAGGGACTTGGTAATGAGGATTTCAATGTCTTACCAAAGGGCACTAGCGGATCGACTGGTTATGAGACCACTGTTCTATCACTGAGCCATCACGCCTCATAAATATCTACATTAACAAGATTACTGGATGAGAGGAGCAAACCAAGTCAATATCAACCCTTATTTGCCACATCACTCAAAAACTGTATATTAACAATCAGCAATCTTTTAAAGAAATACAATGAAAAGTATACCTTATAATTAGACAGGAAGTGGGGGACATACTGTACCGTTAACCGGTTGGATGAACTTGAAGAGAAAAGCTTAATCTATTTTGAATTCGGTTTGGTAACTATTTTGTTTGATGTTTCACTTCAGACACAGCTGTTACTTGATCTATTGATCAAACCTGATTCTGATAAAGACATGATTTCTTTCATTAGAGAAACTCATCAAGTTTATTTGACCTAGTAAAAAACTGCCATAAAGTCATAAACTCCAACTAATATATGCACATACTCAAGACAATCCCATATTAGTTATTTGAATTAAAATATCTTCTGTTCTAATTTTGAGAGAAAGAAGCAAGATCTGACCTTTAATGAAATTGCTTTGATAGTTCAAACTGAAGGAAAAAAGGATAATCAATACACAATCTGTGTGTAAATTCAGTTTTAAAAATCGATTATAAAACAAGCAAGGAACATGTTCACAACAAAAGATGTCTAGCTCATTGAAGAAACAGCATGTGCTATAATACTAAACACATATTTTCTTATGTCTATAATTCATTCAAACTTAATCCTTG